AGCTTATTTTTCATCTTTGACTAGCTACCTTGAATTTATAGGTGAAGCAAACGGGTTATGATCCAATTTAAGATTTATAAATTTTATACGAAAAGTTAACATGTGGAGTCTGATTTGAATAGAATGGAGCCCGAATTTTTAAAAAATTCTTTTAGCTAAAATAATATGATTAAGTTATATTCGTATATTATAATTACTCTCACTAGACGTATCGACATCTTTAAAGGTATGAAATTTTGATCAAATCCCGTAAAAATCTTTATTATTTGATTATTTATGCTTCATGTACGTAGATATGATCCACTTAGTTACAATCATCTACATTATCATTGCAAAGAGGCCTCCAAAAGATTCATGCAGCAAGCGACAAATGACTAGAAGCCATTGTAACATTCAATAATGTGGGCATTGCACTAGAAGAAATATTCGATTGAATCTTAGTGGATATATAGGAGTATAGGTGAACGATGATGATGGTAAAAAGAAAGAAAAGAAAGTGGTAGTAGATAGAGCATATACTACAAGAGTTCACGTGATAAGAACAGCAAGATCTAAGCATATATAAAAAAGGAGAGAAGACATCATCAACCATGCTCGTTAATTCGGGTGCAGACGCTCTAAGTCATGTGCGACGCCACAGATATCGAATCATATACAAATGGATTCTACGTTGTTCTTTTAGTGGATAAAGTGGACTCATATGATATTAGATCTGTGTCCCGTGGATGTTAGATTTTTTTTTCCCCCCGCCTAGCTAGTACATGTCTATGTACTCTTATGCTTTGATTGTTAAGATATATGAAAACCCCTTGCACTTTTCTTCTATCTTGGGTCTTCGACACATTTATGCGAAATATATATTGCATTTCATAATCGCATTTTATCGATAACACTTAGTACTGTACATGTATTGTATCCTTTCTGTCTCGAAATTATTGTCTAATTTGTATTTTTATTTTTAGAAACTGTACTAAAAGTGAAATCTCTTAGACAATAATTTTGAAGAAAAGAGTATTAGTTTCCGTTGAGATGGTAATGTGTAATATAATATACACCCATGGTCATATGAGATTGCTTCATGAAATGCAATATGTTAATGGTGGAGGAAGGGGAAAAAAATTGGAAGAATGCACAGGATATTCAGTTCAGATAAGGGAGGCAGGAGGGGGATTCAGTCTTCAAAGTGGTCCAACTTCAAAACCCTAGGGGGGAGGAATCACCAGAATCCGCCATATCTCTCTCTCTTTTTATCATGATTGATTCAGCATTCCCAAATCCAATTCCACCCAATCAAAAGATTAAAATAAAATTAGTATTGGAGGAGCCATACGGGATATAATCATCATCATCCATTGTATTTAATTAACCAAGGGGCACAGTACATATTGCCTAAAGTTAAAATGAAATCTCCTAAACTAAAATTACTACCTAGTAAACTGGGCTCTGTAGTTAGCAGATAAGTATAATTATAAACTAGCATTTCTTGTTTTTAATTCTGATCGATTCGTACTTTAATATTCGAGGAGAAAACAACAATTACCTTATGTCCCGTAATAAGACAAAGCACCGATGTTAATAATAAGGATAACTTCAGCTTCTTCTTTTTTCTTTCTTTTTTTTCCTTTTTTTTGTCTTTATTATCGGTATATATTTGTGTGTTCATGAGAATAACTGCATATGACCTGGGTGCTAACTCAGTTGTTTTGTATTTATCTTTTTATTTAAGGGATGAGAGATAGGGAGAAGAGGCAGGGGGGAATGTGAATTTCCAGTTGTAACTAAAGGGAAGTACGTAAAATAAGAAGGAATGTGATGTAGTGTAGCGAATCAGAGGGAGTGGGTCGGCGATACCAAACAGGTGAAAAATTCAGCTCGGAATAAGAGCTCCAATCTCCCAGTCAAGGCATTTTTTCATCGGAAATTGATGAACATTGGGCCCGACCGACTTTATGTTTTTTTTTTTAACTATTTTTTTAAGCATAAGAATCCATTTCTCTTCTCTATTTGAGTTGAGTTAAGATTGTTAATCTATATTCTTGCACTGTTCTGCAGCAATTGCGAATAATTTGACCAAGATTTGGATCGAATTTTAAAGTTGACTGAATTCTCCACTAACTAAGAAGAATGATTTTTCAGTTTATGAACTTATATTTTTTTAAAAAAATAAAATAAAATCTTATGCTGAGAAATTGCCAGTTCTTTCTTTTAGTTTGAGTGCAACTTAGGTAAGGAATATCAAAGAGGAAAAGGTCGAAACACAGTTTCTAATTTTTCAAATATTAGAAATAGCAATGACTCTAGGGAAAATAATATGTACAGTGATTAAAAACAGTGACCAATGTGGAGTAATTATGACCCCTATTTTTTTGTCATTCTATCATTAAAATATTATCTTTCTTGTTAAATTATCTTTTTTATCTTTAATTAATAAATACACATGTATAGTGAGTGTGGTGTGAATGTTTTTTCAGTAGTCATTATACAAATTCACTATATTTTATCACTATAATTATCATCAGTGGCAACTACATGTTAAAAAGATTAAAAGAACACACAAAATATTAATGACTTAAAAGTGTTACAAGTTTGTTATGTGTCTGCTCGAAATATTTAGGGGGGTTTTTTAGAAAACAAGCAAACAAAAACAACGGTGACAACAAAGGCAGCTTATAGTTATTTGGATAGGATAGGCCGATAGGGTTTGATTTTTGATATGCAAATATTGCGTCCAAACGAATTAGAGTAAATCAGCAATATGCCGCGCACGAGAAAAAAAATGTGATAATAAATTGACGGTAGATTATGATTACTTTTTTTTTTTTGGTACGAATAAGGTTGTTATATCATGTGTTACGAAACATGTAATGTTTTATAAGGTAAATTTCGTAACAGACTATTTAGTTTCAATAGCATCTCAGGGGCAGAGAGGTCTACAAAAGTTAAAAACTCCACCTTTCGGGGGTGTGATTGGAGTATGATTTGATAGGTTGTTAATCTTCGAAATATGAAAATACACGCTTGAGCCTCATTTACTGTAACAAAAAAAAAATGTTACAAAATCATATTCTTTAAATTGATGTTTAGTATGTGAAAGTATTACTTATGCTCTTTACTCACGTGCGTGACTTAAGCTATGTTACGATGGTTTTTTAAGTATATTTTTTTTGTATTGAGAATATAAAAAAATATGGTGAAATAGGATAGACATTAATTAAAAATTCTGAAAAAATTAACAAAAAATGAACCAAGCAGAACCTTAGACTCGCATTAAAATCATGTAATATGATGTACTCTTGCGAAATTATATGTTGTAAAAGAATTTCCTCATATGCCAAAACGTACATAGTTAGTAGTTAGTACATGTTACTACTACCAGGGTACTATCTAGTATTTCATTTGAGGAAAAAAGATATCAATATGCGATTATAAGTACAAATTCACAAGACCTCACTCTCTACATATACAAAGCTCCCATGCTCCTCGTGATTCGAGTAATGAAATGTATGCCCTCTCCGGTCGCCCTCGTTCTCTGCCACAGTCTTCCTCTCTTCGGAAACTAGCAAATTAATTTAATTCACTGCACATTACTACTATTTCTACAATTTAACGGCTGAAATAGAAGTTTGGGAACCCTTGACGAGAAAGATGGTCAAAAAAACGGAAAACTCCAAACCGATCTGATACTTTGTGTCGCAGACACTTATACGATGTTATGCAGCAGTGATGGTATTGATCAGATCACTGAATGAATGACTGAACGTCACACACCAAATTGATAGGTTTCAGATTGTCAGCAAATTAAGTTTTTTTTGTTGTTTTTCTCTTCACGATTAATTTCCAATAATAATAACATAAAAGGGTTCTTCTGCTTCCATTGATTCAGAATTTTCAGATGTTTGAATGACCAATAATAATTTCCTGGGCAACTTATATATCGATGACAACTTACTGAATTTTAATTTTCTTATTACATAGTAAATGTGAGTAGTGAAAATTGAAAAATTCAAGGTCAGAAGGTTCAAACTCTTGGAGGTCATTGGCTTTATCGACACGTAGTGGGTTGTTAACATTTGGATATTTGACATTTGTAGTTCAGTTTGTGTGTAGTTGATATAGAAGTACCGGATGCCCCATTCTGGATTTAGATTTTAATAGTGCTCTCAACTGGGGCCTTTCGAAAGTGTGGATTTGTATTGGTGAATCTAACTTTACTATTTCAGAAATGTAATTGCTACCAAAGTACCAAGTGATGAAAAATTGTAAATGTGAAAAATATTGCAAGGTTACAGTCGCGTTCTCTCTAAAGTAAAAGCAATGGATTTAATGAAATGGCGACTAATTAAGTTATACGGGTTTATATGTGTACAAGTACTTCGTGAGTATACATATTATACCGTTATAAGGTTACAAATAGAGTATCATAAATTTTATTGGACCGTCACCATATTTTAATTGAGGTGGATAGTCAAAACTTGACGTCAGTGATTTTGAAGTTTGAGTTATGAATAGCCTATTGAAATCCATGCTAACTTAGTTTGGAGTATAAGAGATTTTATTGTTGTAAAAGAAGCTGACGATAGAATAGTGTAATGTTTATACTCATTTAGACAAACCATGTAATAAGAGTAACTATTATTTCTCGAGGCATTGCAATATAACACGATGAAATCATTGAGATGATTAGCAATCTTTCATGAAGGGTAAATTGGTGATGAGCCTTTAAATGAAATCTTCCAAAGCCACCTAAAAGACTAATAATTGTGTATATCTTAGATTAAATTGCAAAATCGCAAATAAGCTTAAGAATGGGGATAGTGAATCTGTAAATTTTTGGACATTATTATAGTATATTGGAGTACTATAATAAAACGAAATAAAAATCCTTAGATATTGTTGTAATCTACTACTAGGAACGTAACATAAGGTAACGTAACGAAATGTGGTAGTTACTTTAGCCAAAGCCAAAAAAACAGGACCCGCTCCTTTTGCTTACTCGCTCACACACACTCACACAGTTCACTTTATAAAATCCAATCCATTCCAACCCTTTAAATGCAGCGGAAAGCGGGAGTCCAGTCCCCTACCAGATCAAAAAAAGCCACAGAGGCAATAAAGACGGTGAGAGCGAGAGTTTAGTGAGAGAGAGAGAGAGAGAGACGAGAGAGGCCCATTTACACCATGAAAATGATATGAAATAATTTGGAGGCTTCTTCAGCCCAAAATGGATTACTCTGCTCTGTGAAAGATTTAAGTGTTATATCTGATCAGTAGTACTGTAATTGATCAATTGTAGAAGACCCGACCCCGGAAATGATGACTGGATACGGAATGGTGCAAGACCAGAACATGGAGAGGCAGATTGAGAAGCAGATGGGTTGTATGGCTGGTTTCCTTCACATCTTCGATCGCCACCAGATTTTATCCGGCAAGAAATCTTATTCCCCCAAGCGTCTTCCTCCTTCCAAGGTTTTTTAAAATTTTCCGGCATTGCTTCTAAAAATTATCTTTCCTTCTGTTTTCATTACTGCCGTTTTTTACTGACACAAATAATAATGAATGTTTCAGGTTGTTGATTCAGGGCAAGGCTCCGAGAAATCTGGTTCGTCAACACCGGCTGTATCGAGGGAATTAGTTAAACCATTGTCGGCTCCGATGACCCCGCCGCCGGGAAAAATGGCGAAATCTCCGGTGCCGGAGATTACACCTCCGAAATCGCCTCTTCCTCTTCCGGTGTTTGAGATGAAAGATGGGTCAAAGTCATCTTGGAAGTATTGTAAAGAAGCTCCCAGGCTGTCACTTGATAGCAGAGCCACTGTGGACGCTAAGGGAAGTCTCCATCCCAGAGAGATTCGAACCAACAACAACTCTGCTTCCACTTCTTCTTCTCTTCTGACGGCCAACGCCGACGACAAACAACGGCGTTCCCCCAGCGTCATTGCCCGGCTTATGGGACTTGAGCCACTTCAGGCCGATTCCAACGCTGCCGCGGCCGAAGAATCGGCTCCCAAAGACGTCCAGCTCAGAAGATCCGCATCAGAATCCAGAGTATCCAGAGATCTTTTCTGTTACCATTCCGTTGAGAATAACGGCGGCAATAACAGCTTCCAATCCAATATGCCTAATAATTCGATTGGCCATGATGGAATTAACTGTTCAGTGGATCATACGACGGATATGTATTCGCACCAATTGGCGAAGAATGCCAACTCTGAACAGCCCAAACCGGTGGTTAATAACAGGGGCGCCATTGTTTCTTCGTCGCCGTGGAAAGCGCAACCGTCACGGAGGAGCTACTTCGACGCGGCGGATGTTTTCCCGGAGCCTAAACAGCAAGCTGTTTCCATCTACGGTGACATTGAGAAGAGGCTCAAGTTGAGGGGAATCGATGAGCCGTCCAAGGATCTCGAAACGTTGAAACAAATCCTCGAGGCGTTGCAACTCAAAGGACTTTTACATTCCAACCACCGGCCCTCCGAGCAGCGGAATTTCGTGTATGACCGGAGTTTCTGGTCCTCCGACGAGTCTCCGATCGTGGTAATGAGACCTTCTTCTAATAAGTCTCCGGTGAATCGAAGAGTTCGGAGCGAATCACCGCCTTCGCGACACGGAGTTCGTCGGAGTCCTAACAACAATCTCACCGGCGAATATCATCATCAGCCTTCTTCAAGTCCACGTAGGGAAAGGCCGGTAATTGACCGTGGTTTAAGGAGCCCGACACGGACCGGGACTAGGCCCGGTTCAGGAAACTCAATAATCAAACCAAAGCCGTTAACCGTGGAAACCCAAAGATCAATGGAATCCCGACGCGTCTCTCCGGCAGCTCACTCACCAAAGCTCAGTTTAAGGAGAAACGTAATGACGTCCCAGGATCCAACGGCGACAAATCGATCACCAAGGCGGAGGAGATCACCGGCCAATAACGTCGTCATCACCGAGGACGAATCATCATCCATTTCTGAAAGCACAATTAGTACACCCTCTCAAACAGATACCGAGGTACGCACTACATGCTACGTAATCACTTAAACGTTACGCAAATCAAATTAAATTAGTTATAATCATTAACTAGTAGTAGTACTAATTAGGTGTAAATGGTCAAAATTAGAATGTACTGTACTTGATGTTCGGTTGGGATTTTCCGGATTTAGAATATTTATTGTTGATGTGGACACATATGGGTAATAATGTTTGCAGAGATCGAAAATGGAGGATTACAGAGAAGGCGGGAAGAGTTTGCTTGAAAGGTGCGACAAGCTGCTTCACAGCATTGCAGAAATGAATAATGCGGCGGCGGCGGAAATGCAGCCGAGTCCGGTGTCGGTTCTGGACTCGGCGTTTTTCCGGGACGAATCGTCGTCGACGTCATCCCCATCTCCGGTGATGAAACGGAGCATTGATTTCAAAGGTACTCTACACATGAGTTAGCTTACGCATGGCACAATTTCTCACACGCCAAAAAAAAAAGACCTGAAACCACTCCCCCCATAATCCCATATCATTATAATTATGTTCCCAAGATTTTCTGGTTTTGACTCAACCATTACTTACATTTTTTTAGTACGACTCACTCAATCTGGGAGATGGGATGTATGGGATGACGTCCCCCACCCCCTACCCTGGCCCCCTTGCTTTGACTTTTACCTACCCTTTTTAGATTATGGAAATCACGCAAAAAATAAGAACTTCGATAATGTGAAAGTGTTAACTTTAATAGTCTAGGTAGTTTACTCCTCTAGATTTTAGGGTAATCCCTCATTTTCTTAAACCGTCATTGTGTGTGTGTGTGTGTTTTTTGGGGTAATGAAATAGTTCACAGTTAGGAAATCCCATAACGTTATGATGTTTTAGTCAATTTTCTTTTGGGGTAGTAGTACTATTTGTTTGTATACATTTATGATTGATTGATGGTGGTAGTAGGAGTAGGAACTGACGGTGTCTAATCAAAAGTCAAGTCCATTTATTTGAGCTGTGCGGCTCTTTTAACTAGTATATTTGCAAACAAAATTGCCCAAGATTCAATTTAATATTGAAAGCGACTGATTGTGTATGTGGATTGATTTAACCCTAAACCAATTAACCAAGCAAAGAAGAACTACTTAACTAGGCTACTGGTCTAGCACATTTCCTAGCTTACTCAATAGTCAATACTACTACTTACCACACCGCCAGTTTTCAAACTTTGTAATTAATTTGCATAAATGACTTTGGTGGCTGGGTAGTTGCAGAAGAACAGAGTGGTATGTGAACAGTTCATCAATGCAGTTCTTTACACAAACATTAAAGCTGGAAATTTCACTGTTACATCGTATACTAGTTATACTACTCGTCAGTTGTACAATTACATCGTATAAAATGTGGTTAATTACAGGTGTATATATTCTATTAGGTGGTGGTCCTTGGTGTTTAATCGTTAGAATCGACAGTATGGAATCTGTTTTTAATACGCATTAAAACAATGGTACTTTTTGATTTGAGCATTGAATGATTTTTAAGATTATTTTACTTCATATCTGACTTTGTCCTAATGCTTACAGATAATGAACAAGAACAAGCAAGTGATTTGGATTTGGATGAAGAGGCATGGAGTTACATTCTCAGTCCTGATGATCAATCAATCTTGGGGGAGACTCCCACTGACGGCGATTTGGTTTACATCTCGGAAATACTCATGGCTTCTCGTTACCTCCCGGAGGATTGCGACGTGTTTTTGTTGCTGGAGAAACAACAATATCTCAAGGGAAAAGACTCGACCAACGTTTCCAGGTTACAAAGAAGACTGATTTTTGACATCATTGTGGAAATTCTCGACCGGAACAGGAATTTACCGCCATCGATGGCCTTTTCGTGGTCAGATTCTCGGACAATAAAGTCATCGCTACGCAGAATTTGGTCCGAATTCCTTAAAATTCGCCGACGCGACACTTCGGATCATGACTTGTTGGAGGTCATCTGTGGAGTGCTAAAAAAAGATTTGGCCGGAGATGCGATAAGTGGGTGGGGAGATTGCCCGCCGGTAGAGTTATCCGAGGCAGTGTTGGACATCGAACGCCTGATATTTAAAGATCTAATCGGCGAATCAATCCGTGATCTCGCTTCATTTGCCTCTAAAAACAGGAACTCGTTGGCGCCGGCGCCTCGTAGGAAGTTAATTTTCTAAACTAATCTGTGTCTAAACGACTCAAAAACACTCACCGCCGCCCTCCCGCCAGATTATTGTTTTGGCGCGCATTCATGTATCCCTTTCATCACATTTAAAATAATCCAGTCCACGGTTTTCTTTGTTTTCTTTTTTAACGTTGTTTTCACTGGGGAAATGCGCGATCCATAACGGTCACATTAGCTAGCTGTAAAAAAAAGACTGAATGAAATAGTAAAATATTTTCTCCCTTTTGTTTTTTCACTTTTGGTGCAAATGGGCAAGTGCATGTGAGGTGTGACAGACCAATATAATGATAGGCTGTCCTGGGAGTCAATTAGATTAGTCCATTCCTTCCAGACTTTTTTTTTTTTTAATTTTTTTTACGCCGGAAACCCCATCAGAGATGAGTAAACCCTAGAGATGGGTAAACCACGTCCATTGCAATAGCCTGCAAATCACAGTGGAAGCTGGGTGACAAGTTCGAGTGCGAAATCAGGGGTTTATGAGTGGGTGGATGATAAGCTTGGGTGCGAAATTAGAGTTTTATGAGTGGGTTTGCCATAACAAACCCTCTAGAGGTGTCCAATTGACAAGGTTAAAGTCATTCTCTCACTCTTGTTAGAGTGGGGTTTTGAACTGATGATCTCTTCTTGAGAACAAAGATGGTGTTACCATTGAACCAACATCTCATTCGCTCCTTCCAAATTTTTTTTTTTGCTTTTAAAAAGGTAGAAAGAAAAAAGATGGGAAAAGGGAGCAAATAATCCATCCATTTACTTAGTTAATTAATCTCGTTGTTACATTTGTTTACATTGGTATTTTTTTGTCTTAAGTGTTGATAGTGTTAGCCTCGTACTTGAACCACTTTGAGTTGGGAGTGGAACTTTTTTAGGAATCTAGTTTGTTACAGAAATAAACATATTTAAATTAAGCTCTGAAAAAGAGAGAATGGAATGGTCATCATTGCCTGATTTTCTGGTAGGACTTACTGGAAAGAATTGGAAGGAATAATAAATAGCCCCAGGAAAGAATAGAAGTATGTATGAAGTCATCTACACCTTTTCTGTTTTTTCAATCTGAAATTGGTAAATTCCACAATTATAGTTTTCCGATTAATTCAAAGCTTCATCATGTTGGGGGGTTTGGGTTGGTGCATCTAATTGTGAGTTTGCACATGCTTCTCATAATTTTAACTGTATCACTCAATTCCCACCTCCCTTTTTAACCCCAAGGATTTATAGTATGAAGATTAATGATTTACTTTAAACTAGAGTTGTTAGACTTATGTGGAAAATAGATTTGGACTAGTTTTGGTTTAAATTGAGCCTCATTTGTAATTGTTTTGTTTTTATTTTTTCATTAATGAAATTGAAAATTTCCCCAAAAAAAGAAAAGACAAATGTGCTTTCAATTTTATTTTATTTATTTTTATTTTTATTTATTTTTATTTTTATTTTGAAGAGCAAGAACCATGACATTCTAGACAAGTACATATCATACCAACTAATTACACATTTGCTCATTTTCATACACTTATAAAGTAGAGGAGTAGACTATCTGATCTGGGAGACTGGGACGGAAAGACGATTAAACTTGTCTTTGCTGAACCAATTTATTTGTTTAAGATCGAAAATCATTAACAATGAAAGAGAGACCCCGTGGGGTTTGGTATCAAGAAGTCAGGAATTTCTGAAGAATTCCTCCATTCCACACTACCAAGCGGGCTCCAATATTTCCTTTTATTATTAAGTCTGTGGGCTCCTTGGCCCCATTGTGTTGGCCCATTTTGCCCAACCCACCCTCCAACCTCACAGAGAAAATCAAACTAAAACAATGTATTACTATAACCACAACAATGGCTAGTGTATATAACTACAACATCCGTACAAGCACCAAAATCTTTTTGACTAATTTTATTTTAGCATGAAATAATCTAAACAGGTACCGGCGACACTCATACTAAATTCTCATTTGAGTCGGATAATGTTGTTATACGCTCATTTCACTATTCGTATCTATGTCGTAGTTTAATTGATCGGTTATATTTACTATCTGAATAGTTGCAGAGTTAGGGAGACGGAGGGGTGTGGTTGTACCTGCTCAATTTTTTCTAATTAGTAAAAACATCATTATTTTTTAATAGAAAATTATATATTTATAATTTTTCGCACCCCCTACATTGATTTCCTAGTTCATTAGTAGTTGTTTTCTAAATTTTGCACCCTCTATATGGATTTTCTGGCTCAGCAACCGTATCCGAACCAAGTGTTTGTTGATATTATTATTTAACCAATTGAAATCTTTTTTAGTTGAACCAATAATCAGTCGCAATTGAGCCGGATACACGGGTTTCCCTTGTCATCCTCAAAGGGCACAGAACACTGATCGTCCTGTGACTATGATAAGCTATGATGGTGTGTGATATGGCAGGGGGGAATCACATGTACATATATATTATTAGTTTTGCAATGTACTGAAGCCACAATTGTAGTTACCCGCAATAAAAGAGGTACATGAACATTACCAAATACCAACTGTTTTTCCTCCTACGAAATGTCAAAAAAATGGAGCGATTTTAAAGTGTCGCAGAAATGGAATTGAAGTTGTCCATTCTATGTCGAGGCTGGATTGTCAATTGTCATCGTCGTTGTAAGTTGTAAGTTGTAACTTGTCCCCTAATTGGGTCCTTTTTGCCAGATTGTAAAATTTGACTAAGTGCAAGCTTGTAGACTTGATCCTTATCATCCTCATATGCACATATGGTGACTATCCAAACGAGAGAGAGCAAACAGAAAAGAAAAAAAAAAGTATGGTCCTAAATGCTATCTCAAACGTGTCACCAGGATTGAATCAAATGTCACCTTTTCCAATCATTCAAGATGCTTAGTCCTCTTCAATTTTGGATTTAGCCCTTGTGAGTTCATCTTCATGTATTGCGGAAAAGGTGTTCATGTCTATACTTTGGAGAAATGCTCGTGTATGCGTGGCTTGGCTCTTTCATTAGCATGTGAAAATTCTCCATCAGTGCCCTTATCAATTGATTCATCATTTAAATAAACAAATTCCCAAAATATCTCCCATGCGCGCCGGGGATCATTCGCCAGCATAAGTTCTCATTCTCAATAATGGGATAAGTACATGTTTTTTTATCGGAGATTGATATACGTCGTTGAATTATTATACATCTATCGAAATTATTCAGTAAAGGAAAAAAAAATGATGCGTGTGACACGTATGATAATAAGCTTATCTACCATGTTATATCCATGTAATTCCTCAACTCATAAACTAACAAAGATTCCATCGTCTACTAGGTATCATCTTATTGCACTGTAGAGATACAACAACGTGACAGTATGATCTTAATACAAAGTGCTAGTACTAATCTATTTATCAGAAAATTCTTGTGATTGAGTTATGAATTGTCATAAAACTACTCGCACTGGACTTGTAATACATTACTTTAGTTCATTATGGGGCCGAACAAGGTTTGGGCAATCTATATATATATTTTGGGGCCTAATTAAGAAATTGTTTCCTTTCTGAAGACCAATTCAGGCCACAAAAAGGACCATACCCAAGTTACAAATCGATGGACCATACTCAAATTACAAATGCTTCACCACCTTTGCGAGAAATCCAACCATAGCCCTTAATCTTCTGCGCAGTTCATTATGAATTCCAAAAGTCACATTCATTTTCAATTCATTTGACTCTTTTATCTTCATTTTTTTTTGGGGGGGTGGGGGGGTGGGTTATGCCTTAAGTTGGATTTGGTTGTAGCTGCATTTGAGTTGGATTTTGTCAGTTCACACACATTTTCTCAGTTCATATTCATTTTTTTTTTTGGGGGGGGTGGGTGGGTTATGCCTTAACTATTTTTGGGACAGGGGAGTAGATAAGTTTTCTTTAAAGAGTAAAAGGAAAACAAAGGTGTGAACGAGGAAGGCAGCTCGGTTACTCATAGCGTATAATGTTCATGAGGAGTTCGCTTTTGATGATGTTAAAGGAAAATGGGTAGAAACATGATGGCGGCCAGGACATCTTTTCACCACAGGAAAGAAAAGACAGCACAATTGGAGTATGAAATTGTCATCTTCTAAAATAACCTCTCTGCTGCTGCTCTGCAGGTTGTAATGGGGAACAATTCTAGGTCCACCCTCTTACTGTCCCCGTCCCTACTAAATCTCCCTCCGCCATCCCTTCTTCAAACCATTGAAACAAACTGTTTTCTGATGGTCTTATGAGCCCTTTTCAGTTTTCAGTCATTATGATCTATTTGTTCAGCTTTTTATTATGCTTAGTGGTCTCATTCTGAATTCTGATCCAGTGTTATCCAGCTTATTGACTATAGCTTAATATAGTTCTTTTTTTAAGTATTCTGACTTGAAATAGAGTAGCGAATTGTTTCCTCCGTTTCAAAATAAGAGTCCTGTTTGTTTTACAGAATTATTACGAACCCAAGTTTTCATGGTTTGTAATGTATCACTTGGTTTGGATTTGGATCGTGTATATAGTTCTTAATTAAGCATATACATAAGAATCATCTAGACAATGAATGAACATTCATCATCAATCTAGTGAATTTAGTGAATAGTATAGATCAGGGCCCTTCTTTGTCAAAAATCATATGCAAAAGTAAGAATACTGATTACTGATCAGGTTGATGGACAAGAATTAATTGACTTGCCAGGAGTACTCGATGACTTGAAAGTTTTGTACGTATTGTTGCCATTTCCTGTTTCTTCCTTACTGGTTTGCGCAGTTACCGTGTTTCCTCCTGTTTTCTTTGCCTGCACAAATTTGTAGAAAAGCAATAACTCATCAACTGAGGTAGATTCAGATACATGTCTATGAATTAATCTAGACCAGATTCAGAAGCTTTACATAGTTTGAAGCACGGCTGGGTAAATGCAGGGTCATGGATTCGTAAAGGAGGTTCCTCACCAAATATCATCTCACAGCTCATATCTTCAAAATCTGCCGAATTCAAAATGCTTTTGTTAATCAACTGGTAACTAATCCAGCTGTTGTTTAAGATTTATTCTAATAAGTGATTAATTGTGAATTGTGATATAAATATACAAATCTAAGCCATAAAAATGACACGTTTTTAGAAGCGGACGAAAGCATGAGTTCAAAACTTTGTAGATGACACTCGCAACAAGGTTTTGATCGAAACGGTTTTGAAATCTAGCCACAGATATTGTTAATCTTCGATTTGTGAACAAGAAACACGACTCGATTTGATATCTAACCTACAATTGTATGTTATGCAAAAGGATAAACTAATGATGGGATAGCCTATGACCAGTTGACCACTATACATCTAGCCAAACCGAAAAAAAGCATCAAGAAAATAGTGAGTCGCTTTCCTCGAGGATGGTTGAAACTTGGAAAGTTGCTGGATCGTGAAAAAAAAAAAAACATACAATTGGTTGCAAGCCCAAGAGTGTATACACTTTGCTTCATTAATTGATTACTAGTTCTTGAAAAAATTTGTTCAACTTCTACATGATGGAAACATTTCCAGTAGTAGTTGTTCCCCAAGTGGGAGGATAGGTGGGGGATCCTGCTAAGTGTAATGGTCTTTATAATCTTCATGATATATTAGTGCAATCACTGTTTGTTTTGTTTCTCTGCTATGACCTTAATTATGTCCCCATTTCTTAGTCTTAAATTGCTAGTATCAATTTTGTTTTTTTATACATTAATACACTGGTTAATTCAAGATTGGATGAGATAAGTCTCTTTCAAACAGAACTCTTCTAACAGTTGAGGTTTTTGAATCCAAACCTTAATTGTATTGGGGAGAAGACTTAAAGGGTCAATTATCGTAACAACCAAAAAAATCTATAATTCATCAGTGGTTGGAATACAAGTAAGATCCAATCTTATATAACATAATGTCCAACAAAACACTTACTAGGAACCATGTTGAGAGGCATGCCGAGAGAGTCTTTAATGAACACTTGGGATGGCATTTTGCAAAGATTAGTGCACATTCCTACACAATTTGTCCCCTCTAAGAACCTGGAAGAAAAAACATATCAACAAAATAGAATTGCGTGTGCAATTTGGACACGACTCAGATGAGAAGATACTGTTACATGAGTAGTCTATTGGGAAAAAAATATAAAGTTTTTTTTATTGACTAAAATAATTTAACAAATAATACTCTTATTTTGAAAAGGGAAAAAAAAAAAATTCACCATAAATGTGTTACGCCAATGTAAATGAATAATGATCATATTCCACAGATCTGGGACACTAAACTAAAGGAGGGACAATTTTGTAGTAGGAATTATTACCACTTTTGGCCACTTAATTAGACTTGTTTATTAAAAGCAATTGAAGATGATGATTGATGAAGAAACCGAAAAAGATAAAAGTAAAATAAACGAAGTTACCTGCATTTCTTAATGTGAACGACATTCTTCTCTTGTCTGCCCTCAAACTCTGACTCTTTCACCTTTTTTTTTTTTAATGCAACAAAAGAATTTATAAATTATTTTTGCGCTTAATACATATCATGAAGCCATGCAAAAATGTACACATTCCATTTTCTATTCAAAATCATGTTCGAGATTGTGGCAACACTTTTCTTTTGAAAACTTGATTTGGTGCAGTCATGATTCATGAGTGATGATCAATGAGTTCTTCTTGCAGAAACAGTAGGCCCATAATTCATTTTAATAAATAGATTATACTTGCTGTAACACATTAATTTACTATTAAAATATTTAATAACATATAAAGATATTATGACTTTTAAAATGTATGGAAGCATGATGAGTGGCCCTTGGCATTCCAAAACATAGATTTTCGTTTTATCCCTCCCAAACGGAAAAGAAAATGAAATAAAGGGGAATCACTATGTGAAAATAATATATATTCCCTTCGATCCACAAAAAATAAAAAATTAATTTTATTAAATCAAAACAGTACTATATTTTACACGGATTGAGCATTGCATGTAAAAAATAGAAGTAAATGTTTGATACCTCACAGGGGCCTATTAACCAAGCAAAGAACACGGTAGTGAACAAAGCAAAATATTCTCTTGCAAATTGAGATTGTGGGAGAAGCAGCTTTATCTGCACGGTTAAGCATCCATATGTAGAAAACATCAAATTAATCTTAATACAGTATACATACTTTGCTATTGATTGGTGTCATTTTGATACTAAGAATTATTATAGAGAGTCATTTCTTATACTTTTTTATGGATAAAACTATAGGTGTGACACAAACTAGGGGAAGAAAAATGAAAGAATTTTCAGTGTCCAATAAGACAGTACTATATTTTAATTTTTGAGTTATGGTAAAACGAATGATCAAATTATTTCTATCTTCTTTCTTCTTCTTTTTTTTTTGTTACAACAAATTATTTCTATCTTAATATTAGACATTTCACTCTATTAAAAGGTTGACATCTTTATCAGTTGGAATGATTGATAAGAGACATTATTCTAATAGTCAAAATTAGCTTCTTGTATTGAGCTCATTAGCGTAGATACGACATTGATTATTATATCGTAGAAAATTAATTTGATGGTACGTAGAACAAAAAAGAAGAGGTTATCACACCAAACACTTACATCTATGTGCCGTCTTAGAAGCGTTCAATTCAACTTTTGATTTCAGTCGCTTAGGGTCAAAACACTTACTAGTTTACGAAAACCTTTTTGTTATTACTATCATCGTTTATTTATTTAATAAAAAAGAACCTCTTTCCGAATTTAGACTTATAACGATTTCGTGTCAACCGCATAACTGCGGAAATCATACATGCCTATGCTGTTTTTATTATTTTTTTCAATGAGAAATCACTGGCATTCAAACGTTCGAGAATGATTACAGTACATTCCTAAATATTAATTGAATAGTTCGATCATGGTCCAAATTAATAGATTACAACTTTCATCCATATGAAAAATATTATAGACATCGAAATTATTGACTGCACTATTTAGTACTCTCACCGTCTCATAATTATTGTCCAATTTGAGTTTTCATTTCTAGTTCAAATTGAACTAAAAGTAAAATTTCAAACTGGACAATAATTTTGGGACACATGGAGTAGATGAATTTTTTTCCCAAACATCATCCTTCAATTTTTTATTTTTTTTTTTTGTGTCACACTATGTATTTGTTTAGAAAAAGAAGAAGAAGAAGAAGAAGGAATTCCTCCAAGTTTTTAATTCTCCATTTATAATGACAAAAGGAAGCTGATGAAAAAAAATGAAAAGAAGAATAACTAACGAAGAAGATGTACTTGCCAAAGAAAGTATAGGGCGAGGGAAGGCCTTCTCTAGAGTTTGAATAACGACGTTTCCTTGCTCCGTCGGAGTAAACTTCCGATATACGGCTCCGGCCGCCTCCACCAATCCATCATACCCATTCCTTTTACTAATCGTACCTATATAATTTATGTAACAAAATCGCCGCCGATAAAAACCAAAAAGGCCTTCATTTTTATATCAAACGATGCATTGAGAAGAGACAAAACAATAAATAAATAAATAAAAATGAAAGAAATCAGTATGTACTATGTATGATCAACCTGCTATAGTTTGGAAATTTTGAGAGAGGTGATTGATGGCGATCCGGTCGTACCAGTTATCATGGTACACACTCTTCGAGCCGGAAGTTGATGGTTCTATTAGCCTGGGTGGTTCCTGGCTCAGAACAGCAAGAACAAAGGGAAGACGGTGGCTGGGCCGTTGCCGGTGCCTATGGCGGGAAGATTGTTGATGGTTATTGAGGGTGATCAAGCTGCGGCAAGTATGGTGTATTGAAAGACTTGCCTCCATAGCTATTAAGAGCCAAAGATAATATGAAATGGAAAGGAACAAAGATTAGTTTAATGTTTATAAGCAGCATTATATCTTTGGGTTAATTACTAAGACCTACCCCGAAGATCATAGAAATTACAAGGATCGCTTTTATGAATTTATCGAAACCCGAAATTAGGCCCCTTGATGAGTCAATTAGAGCATCCCAAACGCAATACTTAAAAAAAAATACAGTACAATAAACTCTAAAATATAGTACCTCTTCAACCAAACAACTCTACATTCTATAAACAAATAATATTTAGATTATGTGGAATGCAAAGATTGAAAGTTTCATTTGGAAGAAATTTTTAAATAAAGGAAAAATTTTACAGATTTTAGTATCCTTAAATGTCAGGGAGTAAAGGGCAATTCTCAAAAACTACGGGGAAGTTGCTGTAATTAGACTTGTATGTCCAATTAAGAAAAGGTCGTGCAACGAACTCTTTAGATCGGAGTATTTTCTGGAAAAAAAAAAAAAAGAATGTAGAACGATACAAATGAGAGCATATGAGAAGGTCTCTTTCCGTTGATACCCAAAACGGCATTATCGGTATACATCACTATAGCTTTAGCTAAACATCATGGTCTAAGCCTAATTTATTAAAAAGCAAACCTAACCTGGAATTGGCTCTCAATAATAAGAATGCCCTGCCCAAAATTTGTTCCATACCAGTGCCAATAAAAGACGAAAACACAAGGCACTGGCTATTTTGTCACCAGACTTTAGCCATTAAAGAAAAACACACCAACAAATTTTGAATACTTCCTCCATTTCAATTTGTAGCTCATTTTGAGTTTGGAAAAATTTTTGAAAATATAGATCTTTTTACAAATTCTAGACAAATTAATGATTATTTTTCTAACTTTATCCTCAATTAATGATGCTAATTTATTTTAATTTATTCTTATTTATAGTTTTAATATAATTAATGAGAGACAAAATAAATATTTAACACACAAATTAATTGTTTGATGATTGTCTCTTTAGTTCAAGTATAAACGGTAAAGTCTAAAGTGACTTAAATTTTAAAATACAGGAATATATAGTAGGGTTTGATTTGATTGGGTAGTTTGAAATTTTAATGGTTTTAATCAAAACTGGGGAAAGTATTTTCGAACCTCAACAACTCAACAGTACCCGAACAAGTTTTGAAACTTTTTCCATTATGGCAGCCATGGAGGCATGACAGACAACGCAATGTGACAGTAAATACTACTGGCTATTGGCGAATTGAAAATTTTGTTTGTGAACTAGCAAAATCAAATTAGTCGAAAAATGAAAGATATCAAACACTACAAATGTATAGATAATCAAGGAGGAATCTATTTAGATCAGAAAATGATTATACATAATTCGATACCAGAAATTCATCTACAATTTTCAATACAGAGAATGATACACATAACCATGCGATCATGCCCACCAGAGTATCAAATCAGTATCAAATATTGCATGCCTACATCGCAGATATGGAATTTTCCATCTTTGCCTATGTCACCACAGTCGGTAAGACCGTAGGACTAGAATTATTTTAAAAAGACAACTAGATGAATGCTAAACCAAAATCATCCTAGGATTCAATAACATCGTTACTATAGTAACACAAGAAACTCGTTAATCAATAGAATTTATTACCTCAAGCTCCATGTACCATGGAATTTCTATGACCAACAATGAAACATCATTCAAAAGTATAATATGCATAAAACTGCACCTTTAACGAGCCTAGAACTAAACCACAAAACCAAGACAAATCCACTTAAAACATGTACAAAAACAAGAGATTAAATAAAATCATCGTCACTCCATTCATGCACAAATTAACAAAGCAAACTAGAAGGGGCTATGTATGATGGTGTATCGTCATCAACTCCAGCTAATTGCCTAAACAGACCAACCAATTTAAGCCATACAAAAAAGAATCCTAAAACAACTACTTCCATCATACACTAAATAGAGGAGATGTTCTAAAGAAAGAAGACAAAGCAAACACTAAGTCACTAAAATAAGTACTGCTACTATGTTTTGATTAGTGGACAGATTAAAGACATGCTTATTCCTTGGTGGTCTTGTTGATCAAGGACTTGTGAATGTGTGGGATGACACCACCACCAGCAATGGTTCCTTTGATAAGGGTATCAAGCTCCTCATCTCCACGGATGGCAAGCTGCAAATGCCTGGGAGTGATCCTCTTCACCTTCAAATCCTTGCTAGCATTCCCAGCCAATTCAAGAACTTCAGCAGTCAAGTATTCAAGAATTGCTGCAGAGTAAACAGCTGCAGTGGCACCAACCCTTCCATGAGCAGAGGTTCTTGACTTCAATTGGCGATGGATACGACCAACAGGAAACTACACAAACAAAGACAAATTTGATCAAGTTATGACAAAGAACTAAACCAGCAGAGCCCATGAGAAACCAGGTGCATCAGGTATTTGAAAACACTAAGAGAGAAAGGCAGATAAAAGTTTGCTTGAATGGCAACAATGGACAGACAACTACTATGAACAGGGAGAAACCATAAAAACAGACTTTCTCCCACAAAAACAGACTCATTTAGACAGATTCCCATCCACTCCCACACAAAATCCACACAAAACTTAGAAAAGGGAGGGGGAACATTGCTAATAAAAGGGTTATTTGCAACTGAGCGCATATAGATTCCAGTTTTACAACCCAAAGAAGTAAATAATATTCACCAAATAACCACCACTAGTAACTGCCATTGTACTTGCCAAAACAACTTGTAAGGTTGAGAACAGACATAGATTGCAAAGGAACGAAGACCAGAACAAACACGAACCAACAGAAGAGATTAATTAGTCCACAACAACTCAAAGACCACAAGAGGAAGGAAACACAAGGCATACATCCAATTAACAATTAACGGCAGAACTAAACCCTAGCTTTGAGATTTCAGATCTCAAGTCAATCGAATGCGTTTAAAATTCTAAACCCTAAGAGCCAACTACGATAGAGCATATCACGCAAGACCCCTAATTCGAACCAGTAATACATCCAGATTTACAGCATAACGACGAGATCTACAATTATTTAAATCCTCGGAACAAAGAAACACACATAAGTCAGAGCTTGTAAAATACCTGAAGACCGGCACGGGAGGAACGAGAAACGGGTCTCTTCTTGTCCTTATCCTTGCTGGCGGCTGCGGCGGCGGTTGTCTTCCCGGCGACGAGTCCCTTCCCACCTTTTCCGGCCATACTTCTTCTTCACTTGAAAGTCTACAAACAAAACACCAAACAACAAAAACCCAAAACGGGCCAAATCCTCTATCCAATTAAGCAACGATTTCAATTAGAAAGAAAGAAGAAGAAGAAGAAGAACAGAGCAAGATTTTTTTGGTTTTACCTGAAAGGTTTTGAAGAGGAGGAAAAGAAGCGGAAAAAGAAATTGGGGGAAAACGGAGGAGGAGGAGATAGAAAGAAGTAGATAAGTTTGAGTGGGACGTCTTTTTAATGCTTTTTATTTTGGGCTCCCTCTGTGGGATGGGCTTTTTGAATGTCGAGTCCTCTGTTTGCTTTGGCGGTTACTTTTGGGTGGGAAATCCTCCCAATTTTCAGATTTCAAAATTTTCGCACTCTCAAAAACCAATCTCGATTCTAGCGGAAACACGACGTGGCAATTAAATACTAATCCTGTTCGGTGCGGATTGCCAGCGTGTCACTCTTACAGAACTGACTTATTCTATTTGGGTTAGCACTCTTTATTTGTAGTTTCAGTACAATAGTTCAAACTTATTGTTATTTCATCGCAAAATGTCTCACTTCGTTTCTGGGGGAAAAAACAGTCTTAGGATAGAGCATTAATTACTGGAGATAAAAGTTGTAAAAATACATATATAAGAAGAATTTTGGATAAAATATTTTGCATTTACAATTGAATTCTGAAACTGTTATGGCTGATGAAGCTTTTGTTTTCCTATTACATAGTAGAAAAAGATTAATTCTTTAGCTTTAAGGTTTTGGAAATCTAGTGTTTGCTAATACTTGGTTACTTTAGGCTAAACCTGATATTTTAGATTAATCTAATCCAGTGTAAGTTGTAACGGTGAGTTTGGAACTATTTAGAATTTTTATTTTTTTTTTCCGTCTGGGCAAAAAAAAAAAGACAACTTCTTATTAGTGTATTTTGTTCATTGAGATGAGATGGAAAAAAGAAAAAGAAATAAATAAGCACCAAACTATACTAACAAAGAAGTTTCTGATTTGGGCCCTAAAGTTTAATGAGCTGTCAAAATTTTACGGCGATATCTATGGATGCATTAATTGGGCACCGGATCCAACTAGATGTGAGGAGGCCCAATATCATTTGATAGGATTTCATTAGTTCAGTTTTGAAGTATGTAGAATGAGATTAAAAACCTCATTCTGGAAATGGATAGTCCAAATGCATCCGCCAGAATTCATACATTTAGATAGACAGTTAGTAGGATCCGACTCAATGTTGACGGAGCTGTTGAATCCGAGAAGAACAAAGCAGCGCCCGGTGGTCTGTTTAGGAACAGTGAAGATAAATGGATCACTGGCTTTACTGCGAGTATTGGCATATGTTCGGTCCTTTAATCAGAATTTTGGTCGGCTTATTTTGGGCTGAAAATGACACACGATTTAGGCTTTCAGAAAGTCCAGCTTGAAATGGACTCACTCCAAGCGGTTACCCAAATAAATGAGGAATCCAACACTCCCATTGCGAGCAACGTTCTACCGAGAATTAAAAAACTCATACGTTGTAATAGATGGGAGATAGATACATCGTTTATTAGGCGCGATGGGTACGAGCCTGCCGATTCTCTGGCAAAACTAGGTTTAGAGCGGAATCTGGGATTGTATATTTTGACCGCCCGACTTCTCATAAAATGGTCTTAGACTGGCCATGCTCAACTCCCTCTTAGGAATTGCTTTTGTTTACTAAGCATCGCATTCCCCAGTATAGAAAAATAAAAAATAAAAAAAAAGATAGACAATTAGTATTTCTCTATTACATATAAGTAGTGATATAACCAAAAAGAAAAAAAAACAACAAACAAACAAACGCTAAGATAACTAAGAGATTGACCTCTTAATCCTAAACTTTTAATGCAATAAGAAATTCAACAACGTAATAAGATAGGAGAACGCACACTTTTCAGCGCTATGGTAACCCGAGGTGTGGCCATTGTTAATCTTTATTTCCTCTTCTTCTGCTTCACAACACTTGAAAGCTCAGGAAACGGTAACGCCAAAAGTGCAATTCGGGAAGGCTTTCTCGTGTCTAGTTTTACCTTTGCTTTAAAGGTTTATCCATTTGAGGATTATGAGATAGTTAAATTTTAGCACCACCTCATTCCCTATAAATTTTTTTATCAAATTTTTCTTACATATATATCACCACTCATAAAATAAAATAGAAAATATAAGAAAATTGTCGAAAGTAATGTCTAATCATTTCTTAATGCTTTATTTTCCTTTTTTGGAATTAAAAGCCAATTTCGAATTTAAATATAGAATACACTGGTCGAATTCATGAATGAGGGACAAGCAGGAGAAAGGCCGAGTGTGAAGAATTACCGGGTAAACTTATGTGTCCATTAAAACCAATATAGAAAAAAAAAAATCAAAATTTGGGACCGTCATCTAGCCGTAACATGACTCACCGGTGGATCAGCACACGGTTTATAGGTAGATGTAATTTGATTTTACTTTCATCGTGTATCTTCTAATAATTCAGTAGTAATTTTAGTTTGAAAAATGATGTATCTTTTAGTATATAGGTTAAAAAAATTAATTAATTAATTAATCAGTTGTCACATGTTTATAAGGTTAAAGGCCATCCCACTCATTTCATTACTGGTTTTGAGATGAAAATCCAAGATAACTTTAACAGAGATCAATCACACTTGCTCTAATACTAGTCATTATCATTATTCGAGTTCAGGGGGAAAAAAAAAATCGTTGAACCCAAGTAAAAGGATAAACATTGTTTTATCCCTCACGCCTTAAATTGCCTGGAATTAGTTAGTCTTACCTGGTAGGATTAGTGTATTTAGTCGTAGTTTGGCTACTGTGAAAACGTCAACAGTCTTATAGTCCATTGCCATTAATATGTACAATCCCGTGGGCGAGTCGTCCACAACAAATACTCATTCCAGGGGCGACAATTTCTACATAGAAATTTGACAACTAAAAAGTGACAATTATAATGTGATCCCGTCCAAAGATAAGATGCAAGATTTTCCAAAAAAATGTGCGTCACCGAACGATGAGAGAAAAACATAAACAAACCGATACTGAATATTTGTTTGTCTCAAAATAATTATTTAATTATAATTTTTAAATTTAATATAATTCATATTAAAATTAAAAATTTAAACTCGATGATTATTTTAAGACAAACAGAGAATGCGAAACCTATCACCTTTGCTCAAAAGAGGTGGAAATTTCAAACTTTATTGTGTTAAAATTCACGGAATCACCTTGATCAAATGTCCCTTACGGATAACCTCATTAAACACGAGCATCAAGCATTAGCATGTTGTTATACGGTTACAGTAACATAACGTTGCAATATAGGCAGTTCTTTTATTCATTTTCCCTGGGCTGTTTTAGGCTTTGTTGGAAAATTTTCTACTACTCTACTAGGTGTTTTCATAATAATAATTGATTTATATTATCTATCAAAAAATAATTTTGTATATTTCTAATAAAAAAACACTATGAAAAGAACATTTCAAACTGAAAATTTTCATTCTCACACTAAATTGGGACAAAAAAAGACTTCTAGGCTTCTAGTCACTAATCAACTGGAGGGGGCCTTGTTAGTGGTTACCCGCCTAAAAGTAAAAGTAGTTCACCATCAAGTAAAGAGTAAATATTGATTTTTTACTTTATACCTAAGTGAATTCACCGGTTCATTGTCATCATCACGGGCCCATCAGGCATCATCCCAAAGTCCATACAAGACAAGAAGAATGATGAAGTGCTAAATTAACTATTAGTCTTTTACCAGGCCACTAGCAAATCCATTTTAAATAGTGATTATATCAACAGTCTATAAATGCCTGCTAAAAGAATTAACAACTAATGATGATTATATCACTCAATCTTTAAATATGTGGGAAGAATGATGAATAATGTCAGTTGTGGAGCTACGTTATTTAATTACTCGGCTAGTTGTTATTAATGTGCAGTGCCCCCCAAAAAAAAAAAAAAACCCACTAGGAAAAATGAAAAGAATAAAAAAGAAAAAACTCTAGAACCACCAACAAATGTGAAAAAATTTAGTACTTTCGGATTTAGGGGATGTAAAAGTATGTCTCTACTCATCATTTTCCCATAGTGTATGAGACAAATGTGTACATTTTGATTACTGTCGCATTCTGGCTATTATATACTGTAACCAAATCATTAAAATGGATAATACTGTTTCATGCCATATATTTTTCGTTAAATTAAAATAAAACAATACAGTTAACAATTACCAAGATGCCAATGGAATTAGCTGTTCATATTTACAGATACTACCACGTAAGTTACCATTGGCGTTGAAAGTCGAGATGGTTCGAGTGCAATGTGGAATGCTGTACAAATGTACGGTTCTCAAAAGAGTACAAAACTATACGTTGATCACCAACCAATGGTACGTTACCAGAACAAGAAAAGGAAAATGGAACCGAAACGAAAACAAAACCCATTCAACGTTTGTACTGAGTACTGAGTACTACTAAACCTTAGTGTTGAGAACACGCTATTTGTTTGGCAAAACAGAGACCAACCAAGTTTTGCACATTCGCCTTCAAGCTTTTGGATCGAAAGAAACATCAAATATTAGATGGCTGTGATTATAACACCATCGATTAGGCCATTCCAACCACACTGAATTCAATAAATTTGATGGAAAATGCCACTCAAACTACACTTGATATAGACTCATATTACAAGAATAAAAAATCATTCTGTTTTATTAATCAATGTTATTCGATGATCTTTTATTTATACGAGTCACCCATAAACCGATTACCAGTACAAATAACATAAAGAAATATAACCAACATTTATTGGAAAAAAATAAGATTTGGGACCAAAAGCGATTAGCAGTTACTATTGAATAAATTTTTTCTGCTTAGATTGAGTTAAAAACCAAGTATGTATTTGTGCCATCACCATCTTCAAATAAAATATTTTTTACGGTAGCCCCATGAATAGCACGTAGCAAAGCTATCTCATTTCACTACGAATTTTTCATAGGCGTGTTAAGTATTAACTTAGCACAAAACAAATTATATGGATGGGCAACATTTGAATTTGAAATGAAACGATGCCCAATGCCAAACAGAATGATAACACCGGCAAAATTGTCCTGGCCCAACTCCTTCAAAATGATTTTCTCGTACACCTTTTTTCTTTAAGACCAATATACCCTCGTCAAAATAACTGTACCAGAAAAGCGCTGAATTTCAGTTCTCATTCGAGCCCATTCGGCCATGCCCCCGAAACGTGAAGCGGTTTTTTCCGAAAGACTCTTTTGGCGTTTTTAAGAGTCATCACCGATTCACGAGAGATGACCAGTAAACCCAAAAAACATGCCGTTTGCGCCAAAGGCCCGTTTTCGACATTTCAACAGCCCACCACCCAACCTGGTGCTTCCACCTAAAGGGGAGACGTGGCGACGTGAGGCTGCGCCTTCTGAAACTCATGACTCCTCTTTTCACGACACGTATCCTTCCCTTCAAAAATTAGATCCTATCTGCCATGTAGGATTCTTACGTGGCATTTCCTCCACATCAGCAAAGCTCCTCCTCCCACTCCCTTTATAAACCCCAACTCCTCCTTAGTCGTTCCCTTTGCTGTTAAGTCCTCTCAGCCCAACAACTTCCCAAAACGTCACCGTTGCTCTCTCGTCTTTATCTTTTTTCAGTCATCATTTCTCGCCGGAATCGAGTCCTTTTTTTTCCCCTTTCTTTTTCTTTTTCTTTTTCTTGGGGTTTTCACCGCGGTACGGGTCTGGTGCCGGCGGACGCAGATTTTCCGGCCATTCTTCCATTATCTTAGATAGCCGGATTGCTGATGCCTATCATTAGCGATCTTTACCGGTCGGTTGTTCGAGAAATGAGCCTTTTTCTTTAGCGTGGTTTCGAAGTAAATCGATGCTTTGTACCAAAAATGAGGAGCAATGTTTTTGTTATTAGTGCAGCAGATACGGTGATAATCGGCAACATAAAGGTACCTAACCTAGCTTAAACATCTTGGTTTTTTGGTGTAGATCTATCGATCTTTGGAGAATCCTTGGTATTTGTGCAGAGTGAATTTTGTGATCCGAAGAAGAAATGGATGATTATGATTTTAGGAGTCCTCGATTTTAGTAGTCATATCTGCACTGAGATTTTGTTGATCAGTGTCTGGTAATCTGTAGCGTAATCTTATCCCCTTCAAAAGCCAAATAAGTTTTTTCCCTTTGGTTTATTGGTGGTTGTTTTGGTGATATCAGTGATAGTCTAACAAAGAGATGATCGGAGTTTTTGAAGTCATCATCGTTGACTAGGAAACATTTATGAAGGTCTTAACAGCTGAAGCAATTTGAAAAGCTCAGCTAAAATTTTCCAAATTCAAGAAGAAAAATCTACGTTTTCAATTAGGCCTCATGCCTTTCCCTATGAAGATTCAACCTGTTGATTTCGCCTCACCGGAAGAAGAATCTGAATCGACTCGTTATGAGCCGGTGAAGCCTCCTGTGTTCAAGTCTCGATTCAAGAGGCTGTTTGAGAGGCAATTCTGTAGTGTCTTGAAAACATCCGCCGCTCCTTCGCCGGAGAAGCCAACTGCCATCGGCGGCGGCGAGAAGGACAAGGACAGCTGCGATGAGTTTGAACCAAGCTCTGTTTGTTTGAACAAAATGGTAGAGAATTTCATCTACGAGAGCAATGAAAATAACAAGCAACAGAGGTGTGGGAGGCATCGTTGCAATTGCTTGAAGGGAAGCTGCACCGACAGCTCCGATGATGAAGCCGATTCATTCAATTGTTTCGGCGATTCGTTTTCCAACCATTCCAGTGGTTCGGATACAATTGAATCCCTCAAGGTAAAAAGAATTCCGACTTGAACATGTTCATTCTAGAGCAAAGCCATTTTTATCTTTCCTTTTTTTATATAATTTCATAATTTGAACAATTTTCCGGGATGCTTCATTTGATTTCGAACAGAGTTTGGTGGTGTGTGCTTGTGTCATTGAAAGAACCATCTTAGCTGAAACTGCAAAGCTAGTCGAAAAGAACAAAATGGGTAAAGGTAAGGATGATTTCTGCAGAAAGGTCGTAACTGACGGACTTGTGGCCCTTGGATATGATGCTTCAATCTGCAAATCCCGCTGGGAAAAGTCCTCTAATGTTCCTGCTGGTAAAATCCCTGTTTTGATTTTGTTCTGCCGATTGAACATCTGATGTTTAGTTTTCGATTTTCATACGTTATAGACTTAAAGTTATATGATCTTTTTGTTTCAGGAGAGTACGAATACGTGGATGTAATGCTCTATGGCGGCGACAGAATGATAATTGATGTTGATTTCAGGTCGGAATTTGAAATTGCAAGGTCAACTAAGTCTTACAAATCCGTCCTACAAATGCTACCAAACATATATGTGGGCAAAGCCGACCGTCTGCAAAAGATTGTGAGTATTGTTTCTGAGGCAGCAAGGCAAAGCTTGAAGAAGAAAGGAATGCCCGTTCCTCCCTGGCGCAAAGCAGAGTATGTTAAAGCTAAATGGCTCTCTCCCTACGCCCGCACAACCGCAAAACCTACTCCGGTCCCATCCCCTGTTGTCTCCGGCAGCCCTAGCCCTGGCAGTTTTGTTTCATCTGGAAGTGATGTGAAGGTTGAAAAGGAAGGATCTTTAGACAAGATTGAGCTGAAATTCGGAAAAGAAGAGAAAAGTTTCCCAGACATCAAGACTGGTGATAATGATGAAGACAAGTCCTCCGTGGTGAAAGTTCCAGAGACCACCAAGCCAAAGAGTTCACTGGCTGAAGTTGAGATTTTCAGTGGTTCAACTTCGGAAATATGAAAATTTTGATCTTTTAAACAAAATTTTCATCTCTAATTCCCTTAATAGAGTATTGCCTAATGATTCCCCTTCTGGTTTTTTGTTGAAAGGGTATAATGATATATAGATAAGCTAACATATAAATGAATAAATCACAACAAGAAATGGTCAAATAAGCAGCTTGTAATAGTTATAGCTGTTCATTTCTTGTTTCAGGCGAGAGGATCCTGTGTTCTACTTTTTGTTTGATGTAAATCTCATCCATGAATGTTGAGGACTTCATGTAAAACATTTTGTGGATTGGAACATGGAATTATTCAAACATGTAGTGTTCATTTCCTGGTTGCATACATATGGAATACGTGAGTTTTGTCTTGTGTTCTGAAAGGAACAATTTTATTTTTATTTTTTTTAAAGAAAAAGTGCTAGAAATTCCGAACTGAAATTAGGAAAAAGAGAAAAGAGCTGACGCAATTGTCTCAAATGGTGACCAGAGTAAATAAATCTGCGTACGTGTACTTTGTTTATTTTAACGACTATGGTAAATCGTGCATATCTCTTCTCTATAAACTTCTAGTACTAGCAGTAATCTACGTGTTTTTTGGAAAAGATAAAGGTTTGGAGATAACGGAAAGCAAGGTGGACGCTTTTTAAGATAGCGTGGTCCTAATCTTAGTTGATTTTATCACACATGTGAAAACGTTTGGAGATTAAGACCCCTTTTGGAGTTTCATCCGTGAAAGTTCACGATTCTTCTATGAATTGGAAAAAGATGGAAAATGACTTTAAAGTTAGAAATGCAAGCCTAGATGCTTGCCGTTTGAAGTTTGTGAATTTTTTGGGGTTCATCTTTTGTTTTTTTTTCTCCATTCTTTATCTACTTTAATTGGTAACGTTCTTTTCCTTTAACGGGGCCGAATTTCATGAGCAGAATAATTCAATAAACCCTTCTCTTTTTAAGGTCTATAAAGCTTTGCTTCTAACCAAATGGTTATAATAGAGTGGTAATGACTCTTTCATCCTTAACCATAAGGGAGCAACTTTATATTTTTTGGCAATCTCTTTTATCCATCAAGGCTCCTATCATAAGTTAGGAAATTAGCCACTGTTGTTGGTGATAGATACCCTGTAATATGTAAGAAAAATAGAACTTTACTCGGCTTAAAGTCGTAAACATGATAAAAAAAAAAAAAAAACATAAAAAGATTTACATGGTCAAAATAAATTAGGTATTGAGCAGTTATTGAGGCAGTGGTTTTTGTAGAAAATGGTTCAGTCGAGGGGACGAGAATATTGAGGTGAGTAGTTTAAGTTTAGCAAAAGGTTGTTGAACGTTAATTGAGGTGTGTGCACTTGTTTTTAGCATCTGGTGGAATCATTAATTTGGTAATCGTGTTGCCTATTTGTTTGCGTTAAAAGCATCACTCTTTGATTTTCACTTCAAGAGGGAAAAAAAAAAAAGAGTTTGTTCTTGGAGGTCCACCAGATTGTCTCTTTTATGGGAAATCGATTTTTAACCGATGTTCACATTACTTTAGTTGAGTGCTTGAATTTCCGTGCATTTTTTGTCACATTAAAATCATTTCGCCACTGTGGAAAAAAATCCACTATTGCACTAATTCTTGTCTTGTTCTTTCCGTTATTTTTCTGCCATTATTTGGGTTTTTTTTTTTTTTTAATCTCATCTCATATGTCTACAATCTCTATGTAAAAAAAAATCCAGATTCAAAACGACGAGTCTATTTTGCTCCTGGCGAAATGGAAATTGTTAAACTAGCCGCAGACCTTATCAAACTAATTGAAAAATGTTACCGTTTATACTAAAAGTGAAAATAGGTACTGGTTTTAAAAAAATTAGCTGGATAATTATTCTAGTTCTAGAATTAAAGAAAGACCTTCAAAGAGTTTTTACAATCAAAAGTACACGTATATTTAATGTGGGACCAGGGTATTTATTTTGGTTTAAATTACAAACAAGCCCACATCTATATATCCATTACGAAAAATTTCTGTATAAGTTGCAACAATCAACTAATTCATACTCAGTTATTTGAAAATTTGTTATAATCCTAATCTCCCTCTTCAATTCACTAGTATTGCGGCTAAAATGTATTTGCAACTTGCAAGCAACATCAACTCTGAAATTTATATTTAAGTTATTCAACAGATTCAGTAAAATTTTAATTTATTCAGCTTCAAAATAAATAAATAAATACAACATCATCAAGTTCAAGCTCAATGTTTGCCAAAATCAGCAGGATATGGGATCAGCCAGCCCTTTTGCGGAGGGAGAATACAATTTGGTTATATGTAAGTTTGTAGATGCAAATGGACAATATTTTAATGTCCATCTAAATTAGATTAAATATCTTAAAAGGTCATTTGGATGTGATGTTATGTTGCCTCGTTGGATCTCCAATGACAATTTTTTTTTTTTTTTGAAATAATCTCAAATGACACGTTAGTCAGTGAAATTTTAGGTGTTAGTCGGCAGGCCGATTGGTATAGATTTCAAACTAGTAAAATTTTGAGGTTATTGATTGATGTAATTCGAAATACAAAGGGAATAATGAAACCAGTACATAGTTGAGGGGCGCTATTTGTGCACTTTCAATATTTAATTGGTAAAGAAATAAGCATGTGGGTAATGCAAGGTTTTCAATGCAAAATTAAAGTCTAGTTTAACGCACAATTTTACATTTTTTTTTCCCCAAAATTTATAGGGATTCTGCAGTGCTTTAAAGGGACTGTGAACGGAATAGTAGGTCGACTGCAATGATACAAAGCATATGAAGTCGAAGAGTTGGTCAGAGAATTTAAGAGCGATCCGTCCATGCTTTTTAGATTTTAGTGAACAAACCTTTCTCTATTCTATTTGCTCTTTTTTTTTTAAAAAAAAAATGAAAATTATTATATTATTAACATCAAAATAAATTTAACAGTTTCCAGTCTCCAGGAAGCGACGGTGCACCAGCCGTTTTTCAGGTATTTTGATCGACATGGTTTGGTAGCCTCCGTGGCTAAGCTGCTTTATTTTATTTTATTTTTTTTCTTTGTGCATTTTGTTTCGTCAAAAATGTTTACCAACAAAAAAAAAATTAAAAATATATGTCAAGATAAAGAATGCTCCTTCTGTCACCAAAAAAAAAAAAAATCATGTTGAGTTTCAAAATTTATAAATGTATATCAATTTTGTAGGACAGAATTTGTATAAAACAAGCATGATGATTCTTTTACAGTATGTCCGGTGCTTCTGAAGGAAGCATAGCTTTGTTAGTGTAACACGCCAAGGTAAAGGCAGATGCTCAACAAAGGAGTTTGGATCCTTTTAAGAAAGAAAGTGTCCGCAACAAGAAGAATTAGAAGCTACTACCTTTCATGGACAAAGAGCAGGGGAAAAGAAAATAAATAAATAAAGAAAAGAAAATAAAAGGGCCAGTTTCTTTTGGCTTATGCTCTCTTCCCTGTACAATTTACAAGACAAAGTTTTGGCTGGGCGTTTGTTACTAGTTATAAGAAATTTTACGAATTCCACAATTTTTTTTTCCTTGCTCAAAATTCATGAACTAAAGTTTGGATGCTTACTTAGTTGAGTGAGAAAGTGTGTTTAATATAAAGATAATTGGGCGAATTACATTTTACCCCCCGAGTTTGAGTGATATTACCATATACTCCCTGAACAAGGGGTTAAACATTAAAATAATAAAAATAACCCCGGTTTATACACACTTAATTTTCTTTTCTCCTTTTTGATTTGATTTTCTTCATTTTTTAATCATTAAAAATAAAAATTACTTAAGTTGTCATTTTCAAATTTAATTATAACAAGTTAAAATATTAAAGTTAATCCATGATTAATAATATAAGCTTATTACGATTAAAAAAAGAAGTTAATCTGTGAAAATAATTTTTATTTCAAAAGACATAGTATAGTTAATGTCAAAATTTATTATTTAAATGTATTACTTTAAAAGAATTAATATGGAATATTTTTTTAATTTAACTTATGATATATTGTTTTAAAAAAAATTTACACGATATAATCTAAAAATATAGATTTAAGTTTTTTTTTACCGTTTACACAGAATTGATGATTGTGTTTATATATTAAGGGGGTATTTCGTAAGTTGACTATGAGTCAAGGGGGTATATAGTAGTGTTACTAAAACTCAAGGGGTTTATGGTAAATTCAACCAAAAATCGGGGGGTAAAATGTAGTTCGCCCAAGATAATTTAGATAATTCAGGTCATACATATTAGAGGATAGAGATTTCCTTCTAACTTTTAATTATTTTTTAGATTTCACGGTTAAGAGAAATTTTAATCACTGTATACAACTTTAGTTCAAACAAAAACTGTATTGTAAATGTGTACTACCGTTTATCTTATTGTGATAATAGAAGTTTGGCAGCCACAGATGTGAGAAATCACACGTGAAAGACTACTAAATTTTTTTTTCTACATTTTAAAATTTGTATGTATGTTAATGAATTAGTTATTCCTGTCTTATAACCAAAATCATATGATATTTGCATCAATTACAGTCCATGATAAATCTCCCTTATTTTTTTTTTTAATTTTTTTTGGTAGTCGCTTTTTGAAGATGATGAATCTATACTTGTAAAGTTATTTGCTTGGTTACTGATCTGTCTTCACCCTGAAGTTAACTTTCAAGTCACAAATTCCGGCCAGTCCTTTACACATTATTGTTCACAGCTTCAAGGCTCGAGCAAAGCAATATGTATCTTTTTCTTCTTTTTTTCTGTTTACGTGAAAATTATGTATTCGAAACTGTGGGAAAAAAGGAAATATGAATCACTCAAAACACAATTAATCAGACGATTGTGGTTGAGTTCGAACCGGCCTCGGACAAGGATCAAGGGTTTAGGGTTATTGGTTTTAGTTTGAGATAAACAGGTAGAAACTTAAAGAAAGTGGGAAAAAGCCGAAGAATATAACGTTTGACTCATAAAGTGGAAAATCCTAGCGTCAGCAAGCCATAGATGGTGCCGATGACACGCTATTACATAGAAGGCAAAGAGAGGACAGACGTGCAGAGGGTGGTCCGACATACATAAGTGTTAGAACACCTATTACAGCATAACCGCATTCGTTGGAGTAGAAAGCGGTGAACACCTACCTAATTCTATGTAGGAGAAAAAAGACAAACAACTCTATTACTAAGCTAGGGACTACACAAGCATGATAAAACGTGATAAATTACCATATGGAAGGTAAAAACATGATAAAACAGTAAAATAAATAATAAAGGACAAGGAAAATCAGTTGTACGATTAATCGGTGATGATTTTCTCTTCATGGCTGCCTCTATTTATAGTGCTTGGACGAAATCCTTGCTGCCCTACGATTCCTCGGAGAAAAGATAGTTTAACATGGTCAATTTCCTTGAAAATAGGCAATTATTCATGTAGCAGTCTCCCAATCGGTTAATCGGTTAATGACTCTTCTCACAATCAGTTCTTAATTTGGTAATAGAATCCTTTCCCAAATATATCTTATTAATTACTGGCAATTTCTCTTATTAAAAGGAGGAAGAAATAAGGAGGAATCTCTCTTATTTGTCAATTAATCACACAACCGATTTTGGAGTAATTCTATTGTTACTCGACTTCTACTTTCCTTTTCCAATTCTGGATCTGTTCACACTTAATCAGCCCATATGAACCTCAATTATGGCTTCTTTTGAAATATTTTAGAGCCTTAAAATCTTAGCATAATCACATAAATTCACCAAATCTCATGGGCTATCACCAACATCACCCATTGGCCCAAATATCCAAAAAGTGGCCGAACATTTTTTTTTCCAATCCCCTTTTTCTTTCTCTTGTTTAATTTTTGGTCATTTTCCTTAAGGCTCAACTAATAAATTTGTAATGTTGATCTACCAACAAGTTTTGGACTAGAAACCGTTTTTTTTTTCTTTTTGAACAAAGAGTCAAGTTTGGAGGTTCACTATGTGATGTTCAGGAACCATGCAAGCTGAATTTAAGTATTTAACAGGATGAACGTTACCATGAATTTCGACAATTCGACTATTGACTTCTTTTGGGTAGTTTGTTTTGGAGTATAGGTTTGAGCCCATGTTTTTCACTAACCAGCAATAGCTATTTTGATATCAAGCCTGGCCCAAAAGATTCAACTATAATACTCCTTCAATTCTAAAAAATAAAATTTTTTTGTACTGTTTTAATTTAATTAAAAAATAATAATTGTTTAGTTTGAATTTTCACTTTTTGTACATTTTGCACTTAAAATGAAAATTTAAATAAGACAATCATTTTAGGACATAAAGAGTATAATTAACATAGAATAAAATATTGAAGGTTAACTTCATGTATTTTAAAAGCTGGTATTCCTGTTAGTAATGATAAGACTTGCTCCTTCCCATGTCATTAGTATCGCTCTAGTCATAAAATGAGGCAGGCGGAGCAATAAAAAAAAAGATGTTAGCGGTTTAACTTTTTAGTCTTTTTTTTTTAATACTATTATCAGAGTTGAATTGTTCTCAACGAGTCAATGGTGTATTCATATTGATTTCTTAAAAATTAAGTATATCCTGAATCCGATTGACTGGATAAGCGTATCGTATTAATTTCGATAAAAAAATGTAATTCCACAAAATTGGATTGAATAAAGAAGTTGTTGATCAACTTCTAATTAAATTAATTAATCATGGGAAATACCTAGAAGTTAGAACTAGTCATACACACGCACAACGGATGACGATGTTTCCTTTTAACATTTTGGGTGATAAAAATCTATACTATCTACTATTTCGTCAGTCCTTAATATAAGACATTTTTATTTATACTAAATTTTATTTAGAATGCATTTTTAATTGACAAAAAAATTTTAAAAATATATTTTCACATTCCTTGTGTTTTCTTGATTGTTGTGAAATATTTTTAAGATTTTTTTGACAATAAAACATATATATTATGTGAAACCTTGGACAAAATCAAAATGCCTTATATGAAGGACCGGAGGGAGTATCTTCGAAATTTAAACGTTCAAAATCAATATATAACATATTTCCAACAAAAGACAATAGTCTTAGGGCTTGTTTGATAAAAATTAATGCTTAATACTGAATTCACTGAGTAGTTAAGCAATAAGCAATAAGCTAAATTTTATTACTCATATTTTGTACTACAGTTTCAACACTACTTAATTCATTAAGATGTTCAGTTTCTATTATCAAACATGTTAAAACTAAAAAGTGCTTAATAGAATAATTTTTAGTAATAATTAGTGTTATCAAACAGATCCGTATTATATATCAGACGACTTTGAAAGAGGAATTGGACTTCTAAGTCTTTTCATAACTTGCTTGTGTTTATCCAATCAACACGCTCTCAATAAGATAACAGTATGATCTACAAATGTCCCAGCCTCAAAAATCTCAATTAGTAGGTCAATTATCTTTGTTTACAAAATGAAAGTCGGAAATGCACATTTCGTTTAGATGTTGTAAGTTTAATTGCCTTAAATTACCATAATTATCATGAATTGCCTTAACAATGCATAGAAATTTCCAATCAATATCCAATAATATCCCAATATATGCTCTCATTTGCCTTTTCTAGTCTTCGAAAGTTGAAAAAATGGCGAGAAGAGCTTCTTCTTCTTCTTCTTCAGGGCAATACATTGAGGATGCACTCTCTTGCACCAACACCCAATTTGCATTATCGTATTCGGATCCAGCACAAAAATGGATAATCCGACAACACCTTATGTCCCTCTTTCAAGATTTCCCTTCTTTCAAGCCCTCCATAGATACCTTCACCCACAACGACGGCACCACCGTCAACCTTCTCAAAGCCAACGGCGAGCTCCGCCTTTCCTCCTCCTCCTCCTCCGCCGCCGCCGTCGTCCCTTCAATTTTTCTGACCATTTGGATCAACGAAAACTACCCTTCCATGGCCCCTCTGGTGTACGTTTCCCCATCCAATTCTTCTTCTTTTTCAGATTACCCTGAATCCGATCATCCGTTTGTTGACTCTTCCGGGGCTACAATTTCATCTTACCTTTCGAATTGGAACCCGGGTTGCAATCTCTCTGAACTTGTACGGAACTTGGTCAAACTATTTTCCAGTTTCCATCCTTTCTGTTATTCCCCTCCTTCATGGATTAATAATACTAATGGAGATATTCGTCCTTCGTTTATGTCGAAAAGGGAGGCGATTGATCGACTTGCTTGCTCTCTGCACTTTGATTTACTGGCTTTAAGCTCAAGAACAGAGGACGAGATATGGGAATTATCTGTTATCCAATCCGAGATTGAAAGGCGAGGTGATGTGGCAACGAGTATTTTGATTGGACTGGAAGAAGAACACGATGGATTGAAGGAAAGAGTGAAGAAAATGACTGAAGAAGCGGATGTTCTGTTGAATTGGTTGAAAGTTCACACTATTAGTAGAGTTTTCGGGGCAGCGGATCGTGGTTATATTGATGATGCATTTGAAGGTGTGGACCAGAAGTCTAAATTGGCTATGGAATGTGTAGCAGCTGATCAAGCAACGGAGGATTTAATGTATGTTTTGGATAAAGCAGTGGAGGTGGGGATTTTTGGAAGTTTTGATGCCTACATGAAACAGGTTAGGATTTTGGCTAGAGCCCAGTTTAGTTACAAGTATCAACTGCTGAAACTGCGTCAAAATTCCAGATAATTGGGTTCATTCTTTTGTACATGAATTTATACGAATGTTTTTAGCCCTTTTCCATATAGATGTTCAGCAGAACTCAGGTTTACCATCTTGAGCAACCATTTTTCTAACGTTCCAGAACAGAATTGAGAAGAAACTTTAATACAGGGGAGTATTGATGAACAGAACATATGGTGATAATTGGTTTACTCAATTAAATGGATACATAGTTCGCTGTGTACGAAAGGACACAAAATTTCATTCATACAATTACGTATTAATTGTATTAGTTGGTTATCAAATTAGAAGCAATTATGCTGGCAACAAAAGTATAGAACAACTTCTTTGAAGATAGACAGAATTCAGATGTAGACTGTTGAATCTTTAAGCGCATATAGGTCAAAAAAAAAAAAAAAAAACCATCAAAACCCACTTTCATTATTGTTCAGAACTGATGTCAGATCAAATAGGGTTACTTATCAATGCTGGGTTTGATATAGCAAATCAGAAAGCATGAGTTTCTTTTTCTGGTTTCAAAAAGCCAAAAAGCAGTAAGCATAAGCCCGAAGTATTACAGTAGTCTTTTCTAGTTTGAAGGCTCCAGGTAGTATTCTTCTTTAGTCATGGGTTGAACATCATCCAAATTTTGAGGGTACTTGTGTATTTCGCCACTCCAAGGATTCGAATCCTCAAACTCAACGAACTTAATCGCCCGCCAGATGACGCTGTTACACTTGAATCCGGAACCGAAAGCCATCTGCCACAACGAATCGCCTTTCTTGATCCGTCCTTTTGCCTCAGCATAAGCCAATGCATACCAAACTGAACTGCTGGAAGTGTTGCCGAACCGGTAAAGTGTCATCCTGGAAGCCTCCATTGCCACAACGCTAAATCCTAATTTCTTCTGCAAGTCATCCAACACAGGCTTCCCACCAACATGTGGGAAGAAATGATCAACCCCTTTGCTGAAATTCGGGATATACGGCTTCGCATTCTTGGATCGAAGGATTTTTCTTGTAACGATGTCTTTGAGAACGAGATTTTTTTCGGAAAGCGGAAGGATCAAGGGACCAAGTGAAGTGAGGTTCAGTTTGATGGCATCAGCAGCTGAGACTAAGAGATCTTTGCTAATTGCGACTCCCCTGAAACCAGATTCATCTTCTTCCTGGAATATGCATCTGTAGGCCGGGTTGGAGCTTGCCGTGTGCGTGTGGACGGTGTCGATGAGCTGATATTTTGATCTCTTATGATCTGAAGGATGATTTGATAGCAGTATGGCAGCTCCACCTACTCAGAAGATACAGTTTACGGCCGCCTTCCGATGATCGTTTCCTCTGTAGAATTGTCCTGATAAGTTCTCTGTACTCACCACTAGAGCATAGGTGTTTGGGTGTACCTGCAAATTTGTTAGCATACACACACTTTCTATTGCCAAATAGATGAGAATGAAAATTGATTCTTTTTTCTTATCTCGGCTTGCAATATTACCAATAAGATATTCTGAACAGTTACTGAAAGTGAAAAATCTAAAATGGACAATAATTTTCGGACAGAGAATTTCTCGTAAGTGTAATATAAAAACGTGGAGAAGTTGATCTACAAGGCCAATTGCGACAAGTCCACAGGTGCAGCCCATGCCACTAAGGCTATAATTAGCAATGTTATCCCTCATCTTGTAACGATTCACAATAGTACAGGAAAGCGAAGGAACTACTTGAAAGAGAGAACAGTTAACCACCAAAATCCCAATGTCTTGCGCTTTCACATTAGTCTTGGCCAAAAGCGCATCGATGGCTCCAAACATAGCCCTTTCGGTCTCTTTCCGGGCTGATGGAAACGACAAGTCGTGTGGAACTCGAGTCATGTTCTCCGGGAGATACGTGGAATCGCCCAACCCGGCTTTATCCATCATCATTTTCATGAACTCGAGTGTTTTGTCGGTTTGGTATCCACCGAGCTTAAGACGTTGGAGTGTTTTTCTTTACTACACATTTCAATCGCCTTAGGTTTGTAACAACTGAAATCCACCAAGAAAACATTTTGCCTGCGTTTAAGTGACAAAACTTGCAGCAAGATGATAAGGAATATTATGGTGGTTAGTAGTAGTGCTATGGGAAAGAGCAAATTGCTGGATGGTATGCTATTTGCAAGATCCAACAAGGTGAGATTCATGAACTTCAACATAATATTTTACTCTTTTGGAAATAGGATGAAAGGTTTTTTAAAAAGAAATGGATTATTAGGGTACGTTAACCCCCCATTTGGTTGCTGAATTTATAGCATTTGGGTCTATCAATGTATTTTCTATATACCGAAATTATTGTCTAGTGAGTACAAATTACACTTATATACATATTTATTTTTTATGCAATTTTTGTAAAAATAAAAACTTGGATTTGATTAGTTGTTTTTGGGATTTTTTTTTCACAGTTTTTTATTAATATAAATGTTCCCGTCCCATTATACTCTTTTTTTTTTTTACATTTATAATACATTTTTTTTAAAATTCTAAATAGAAAAAATATCTAAAAATACACTTAGAAAAAATACTCCAATGAAATTGGACAACGAGGAAAAGAATATTATTTGATTTAAAGGATTCAATTGAACGTGTTTTTGGTTGTTGGAAGCTGTGCGGTTGTGGGCATTATTAATTGTCACTCTTTTAGCAAATGGACCATGATACTTCTAATTAGAGTTCAGATCTTAGAAACGAACTTGTACATCGGCAAACATTTAAGAAGCTTTTATTTTATGTACAGTGAACAGATCACAACACTTGTTTGGCTAAATCAGGGAAATTGTAAATGAAGGATGATGATGGTCCAAAAGTCTTCATTTTAATTTTGTTGCATTCATTTTGGTGGCAGTCCATGCAGTGAAGTCAAATACGGAGTAAATCAACTTGTTATATGAAACCACGGGTGATGTTCACCCTGTCACGAGTGGCTCGCCCAACTAGATTCTTAGTCGGCAGCCATTTGAAGATGCCTGGAGCTGGGTTCCCGGCTTGGCGAAGTTGGCCGAAATCTGGATGGCTGCCAACGGTACATGGGTTGATCGACGATGGGGGTGGAAATAATCTTTTCATTTTAAAACATCATACCCATAAACAAATCACCTCAAATTTACAAATTAAATTAGTTTTCAGATTAACTCACTCCGGTCCTTATTATAAGACATTTTGTTTCTTGTCTTAGATTTCACCTATAATTTCTTTTTAATTGGAAAAAAAAAAATTAAAAATATATTTTCACATTTTTTGTGCACTCTTAATGATTAAGAAATATTTTTAAAATTTTTATTCAACCAAAAAAGACGTCTTAAAATCTAAGACAAAATCAATATATCTTGTAACAAGGACGGTTAAGAGTATATACTAAGTCTAAGCCCAACTCCATCTTGATTCCGTCTAAAAAAAACTCTATCTTGACCAAGCGTAACCTAACTCCAATCCTCTTATTTTCAAATGGGTTGCCTAGATACCTCTAGAATACAGACTGGGAAAAATGGGATGCCCACTAATAAACTTGCTGGCCAAGCCGCTCGTGACTGGGATTCGGCTTCGATGGTGGTAGGAGTATTGAAGATTAAATACCATAATTTCTATAAGAGTTTTAAAATGAGAATTTCAAATAACAGCAAAGAAGTATAGGAGATTGACGTTGTTCACAAAAAAGCAAGGTCAAACTGGTGCAGCAATTCAATTTTTTACAAAAGTTTTACGTTAAAAAAATTCAAGAATAAAATAAAGTTACGATTCTTTGTATATACTTCCTCCATTCCAAAATAAGTGTCATTCTACACTTTGAACATAGTTTAAAAAACTCTTAAATAGAGTAATAAAATTACTTGAATATCCCCAACCAACCCCATAAAAAAAATGTCCATCAATAGTATTAATTCTTTTGAGGGTAATTTTCAAAATTTTGGACAAAAAGTGCATTGAAATGTGAGAATGATACTTATTTTGAAATTTCTCCATTTTGTTAAAATGATACTTATTTTGGAACGGAAGGAGTATTTCTCATAAAATCATTTTACATCATTTTCTCATTTCAAGTTTTTATAGTACAATAAAATGTTCGAGAGGCCGGAACCTAAAACGATCAAGCTATCACAAGTGCATTAATTATATTTCTCCATTCCGGAAAGTAGTCTTTTTTTTTTTCGGTAGTAAATATTAAATAATTAATAGGACTAATTTTTTAGGTTGTGATACACAAACGACACATTATATTAAGAGAAGAAAAGCCGAAAATCCCATACATATTGGTTTGATCATTTCGACTGCTCAAGGTGGTAGTCTTCTCGAGTTACAGGTATTATGTGATCCAAATTTTGAGGAAAATTATGTATTTCGTCACTCCAAGGATTGGATTCCTCAAACTCCACGAATTTCATGGCCCGCCAGATCACACTACTGCACTTAAACCCGGAACCAAAAGCCATCTGCCACAACAAATCGCCTTTCTTAATCCGCCCTTTTGCCTCAGCATAAGCCAGTGCATACCAAACCGAACTACTCGAAGTGTTGCCGAACCGGTAAAGCGTCATCCTGGAAGCTTCCATCGCCACGTCACTGAATCCCAACTTATTCTGCAAGTCATCCAACACCGGCTTCCCGCCCACATGCGGGAAGAAATGATCAATCCCTTTGCTGAAATTCGGGATGTAGGGCTTCGCGTTCTTAGATTTGAAGAGTTTTCTCGTAATGAGTTTTCTCAGGACGACGAGTTTTTCGGATAATGGGAGGATTAAAGGAGCAAGTGAAGTTAGGTTTAGTTTAATGGCGTTGGCTGCTGAGACCAATAAATCTTTGTTAATAGTGACCCCCACGTTGCCTTCTTCGTCTTCTTCCTGGAATATGCATCTGTAGGATGCGTCGGAACTTGCCGTGTGTGTTTGGACGGTATGGATGAGCTGATATTTTGATCTTTTGAGATCCGACGGCTTGTTTGATAACAGGATCGCCGTTCCACCTAGCCGGAATAGGCAGTTCACGGCAACTTTTCGACGATCGTTTCCTTTGTAGTATTGCCCTGATATGTTTTCTGTACTCACTACTAAAGCGTATGTATTTTTGTGAACCTGCAATTTCAGAAATGGACAATCAACATAAGACATAATATTGACTTGAACAAGAGACTGAAAGTAGTCAAAAATTTGAATTCAAATACATATACTTTTTCTCATATGTGATTTGCTAATGACAAGTTTATTTAAATTCCACTGTGGTTTGTAAGTTATATTAAAACGGGGGTGAGTTTATTCGTCTCTGGTGAAATTTTCGGCATTAAAAAAAATGGTACTCTTTCCGTCTCAAAATTATTGTTCAGTTTTAATTTTCAATTTTAGTACAAATTGAACTAAAAATGAAAATTCAAATTGGACAATAATTTTAAAACGGAGAAAGTAATAATGAACTAAGTTGGTATAAAATATATATAGGTACAAGTACAAATACCTGGAGGAGTTGATTTACCAGACCAACAGCTATAAGTCCACAGGTGCAGCCCATGCCACTGAGGCTATAACTAGCAATATTATCCCTTAACTTGTAACGATTCACGATAGTGCACGAAAGCGAAGGAACTACTTGAAAAAGAGAGCAATTCACGACCAAAATCCCAATATCCTGTGCTTTCACTTTGGTCTTTGACAATAACTCGTCAATGGCTCCAAACATAACCCTTTCGGTCTCTTCCCGGGATGATGATAACGACAAGTCGTGAGGAACTCGCATCAGATTGTTCGGCAGATAGGTGGAATCACCCAACCCGGCTTTGTCCATCATCATCTTCATGGATTCGATTGTTTTCTCGGTTTGGTATCCGTAGAGTTTAGCACGTTCTATGGCTTTTTCTTTACTAAACATTTCGGTCACTCTAGGTTTGTAACAGCTGAAATCCACTACGAAGACCTTTTGGCGACGTTTTAATGTCAAGATTTTTAGCAAGATGATGAAGATTATTGAGGTCATTAGTGGCATGAAAAGGAGCAAATTGGTGGTTTGATTGATGAATTCCAACATGGTGATTTTTGGAAAGGGAATGTTGAAAGTAATTATGGTGGATGAATATAGGTTAGGGGTACGTTTTTTCTGCATCATGGTTGCTGTATTTATAGCATTTGGATTAAAGCGTATGCTGAGCTGCACGCAAGTGTCTTGAAATTAAAGATAACCAAATTTATCCACTTTTCTGTGATCACCTGATGATTTTATTATTCCTTTTAAGTAAAATATTTCTTTTTATCACGACAGCTAATAAAGTTTTGTAGTGTAAGTTATCAATTACTCATTTGGTATCAAAATTATTATCCTTTTTTTTTTTCCTTCTTTTTTTACTTCTATGATTGCATTAGAAGTAGTTGGTACAAAATTTGAAAAGTTATTTTGGAGAGAGTTGATTGGTTAATCAAAAGTATCCACATAACAAGTTACTTTTTATAGTTCAAAATATTTGAAATCGACTTTTTGTTGAAAGTCGTTGGTCAATAGTATTTAATAGTATTTACTCTTTAGCATTGCATGTTTAAATGCGGTACCAACTAGCAACCAGCAACTAGCAAGTGCCCACGAGATTTCCTAACAGTTCTTACAAGTTAGAAACATTATAAGGAACTTATTGATTCATTGAATATGGAAGGATAGTCTAGTTGTTACAAGTCACTTGTTTTAGTTAATTCAAATTTGTATATATCTATTTTTTTTTTTGGAAAATTAGTTTTATTAAATAAGTATTTTAGGGTATGTTTGTTTCGATTTTTTAGTGTGTGTTTTTAGGTGTTTTTTGTATTGAAAATGTAAAAATTGTGTTGGAAATGTAAAAGGATATGCTGGGATGAAACAGTTATTAATAAAATAAACTGAAAAAACTATAAAAAAAAATTAAACAAACAGAGCCTTAGTCATTTTTACATGTTTATCATGTTATGATTTGAACCGTATTCTATGACTCAATACTTTTTCTATATGGATCAAGTCACTCTAATTTATTGCATTTATTTGGATGCCAGGTCATGAAGTAAAGTGGTAAGAAATAAGGAGCAATCAACTGGTTATGAACCACGCACGGGCGGGTTTAGGCGATGGAGGCTGTTCACGAGTGGTTTTTTGGCCAACTTGTTTGTTGGTGTTCACAAGAATGAAACATGGCGCCTACAGACGTGCTTGTTCGAGATCACGAAGGTTGATGGCTGGTGGAATTGTCATGAATATTATAGGGTTTTGCATGATAGTAAGAACTACTTCTTCCATTTTTATTCCATTTTTAAATATGTATTGTTTTAAAATTCATTAATTTTGTTTTAAAATATATGTTGTTTTATAACATTGATGCAACTTTTGACTTATTTTTTCAATATTATCCTTGTATTTGAGAATGGAAATTATGAAATGGTATTTAAAATGAGAATATATTGATTAGCGAAAAATAAATAATGGTAATTTTGTATTTTAAATATATATTTTTTAATATTTCATTGTTATTGGTGAAATGCTAGAAATATATACCACCTCAGTCTTGTTTTATCAGTCACTTTATGGTTTACATAACTATTAACAAAATAATAATCGATGATTTAATTTTTAAGTACATTACCTTTCTTACCCTTATTTAATTATTCAACTACACCTAGTTTCTATGTTCAGTTATTGACTCTAACTACACTACATTAATTGAGTAACGTAAAAAGTGACACTTTTTACAAAATTCATGCGGCAAGAGGTAAATGAAAGAAAGTAGAAAGCCACAAAATTTTTGAAAAATAAAAAGATGTATTGGGGATTGTGAAAGGCAGTAGGAGTACGCTTGAATTTCTACATGTATATTGACTTCTATTGGGGTGATTATAATGCTAATCAATTTTGATGGGAAGTAAGAGTGAATTAAGAAAAAAGGAATTAAATTATGATTGGAAAAAAACAACGACACATAAAATTTTACCCTTAGTTTTGTCCTACTTTTTTTTATTTTGTTACTAAAAAGGGAGGAGTAACCTCAGTACCAAATGTTTGGCAATTTTCGGTAGAGCTTATTTATGATTTCGTGCTGAACCCCGTAAACGAACAAATAGGTGGCCTTTCGGAAATGTTAAACAAAAGACTGCCTATGCTATCTTGGGTAACGAGATTGTTATAGGAGATGCGAAGGTACGAGCTTGAAGTATATTCTCTCCGTTCCATAATTATTGTCCACTTTTACTAAAATGAAAGATTTTATTTTTGGTCAAACTTAATTATATTTTACCTTAAACAACCGGATATACCCCTACATAAGTAATTGTTTAACCATTAAGATTTTATGGATAATATTTTTTACTAAGGACAAATGTGTCTTGATCCATAAAAAGTCAAATTGGACAATAATTTTAGGACAAAATTTTTTGGGCAAAGTGGACAATAATTATGGGACGGAGGGAGTATAATTATAGAGAGATGAGGGATGAAAGGAAGAATGGATATTTACCAACACTACTGAAAGAGCACGAACTCGGTTTTGGAGCTTTTGCTCGGACTACTAATTTACTCTTCTCCGACTCATAAAAAGCACAACATGCACTCGTAACTGTCTCTAACTTCTGTTCTCTAACCTATTCCCTTTCCTTCAGTGAGAGATGGTCATACCTGACCAGGTCTTCTCTCTCCTTTACTCCCATCCCCTACTCCCTTACTCCGTAAGCGAATCAAGCTCTTTGATCAATCGGTTTCCAATCGTTCTTATATCAACATTTATGGAAAAAAAAAAGCTGAATCTCGACATTAGTAGCGTGTAGACCTTCAACAGGAGCTGAAATGATCAACTATACCACACCTTCCCAAATTCGACTTCTTTCCCCAGCAGAAAGAGTGAACTTGACCAGCGAGGAGGGGCGTTCCGAGACCAATGCTATCAATAAGAAGGATAGACTCTTTCTACTTCCCGAGGCAATCCAACCTTGGGTACGAGCGATAGACATTCAATTCGCGTGCAGCCAACCCCGTCGTTATGGCTTCAACCCCTTTTCCTTAATTTAATAAAGTAATTTGTCTTCTTGAAGAAGTTGTCGATGGTGCTATCGTATTAGAAGTAATTGGCTGATCCAGTCTTCCTTTCCGCTTTTTTGGGATCAATCTAAAGCAACAAATAAAACGAAACAGAAGTAGAGGAGTAAGTAATTATTTATAGGGTTACTTGTTTAGAATTTTAGCAGAAGAAAAGGTGTTGTGACCGTTCCATTATCACCAGAGTTGTAAAGGAGGAGCTTTATCCACATTTAAGTGAGGGTTATTAGGTTAAATTTTTTATTTTTTTAATAAAAAAGTATTGTCCCAATAATTTATGACAAGATAAACTAAACACAAGTGATCACCTTAACTAAAAAACCTAGCTAGCCTTTCATAATTACTCCCGCATCATTTATTCTCTTTCATAAGTTTCGCCACGATACTTTAACCATTCGCTTCTAACCATTCACTTATAAGTCGGTAATCTTCTATATTTAAAAGGTTCATGTGTACAGTTTCAAAATAATAGTCATTCATTAATGAATTAATATAATTATTATTTATTGCCGAAAGAAAATCTCTTTCTCATTTTTAAAAAAATGAGTAATTATACACAATTCACCTAATTCATTTCATCATTGACATGTAGGCTAGATGAATATCATTTCCTTTAAAATTTAAAATAGTCATATTTATTAATTACTAACGGTTTTTGGCTGAAACTTGAAAATTGTTGTGACAATATTGAGTGGGCTAGTGATATTGCCAACACAGATTTTAGCCTCCAGAGCAAAATTGATTCATTTTTCCAAAATTACCCTTAATGTGATCCGCCAAATATTTTTTTAGATATTTTTTAATCACCTAAATATCAGCGTGTTATTTTCTCACTCCTGACTTTCTCTCTTCGAAAGGCCATTTTATCTTCTACATCTTGTTGCTAGTTTTGTATTTGTTTGTTTGTTTGTTTTTTTTTTTGGGCTTTGAACTCGTATTTTTAAATTAGTTTATACTGTGTTTTTCTCTGACAAAATTAATTATTTCCATCCTCTCTTACCATAACTTGGATTGAGTTTTTCTATGTAAGCATGTAACAACTGACTTTCTCTTTTACAGCAAAAACTATTACATTGAGAAAGCTTGGAAATCATTATTTGGATGTGGCATTTTCTCAATCAATCATTTCTTTAAATAATTTTTTTTTTTTTTGGCGGGGGATTTACAGTGTGTGTACTTGATCAAAATGTAATCAAGCATTCCTTTCCTGTTTACTTTTTTATTCTGAATATGAAACTTGGAGTTTGTATTATTGTATTGTATAATGTATATACATCAGGTGTTTGTAACACAGCTTGAGCGTATTCAACATGGACGACAAAAAATTAATTACATGCTTTTAAAATTGATGTTAAATTGTCGTTTGGAAAAAGATGTAAAAGAGTTTGAAGTATACAATAGATTCATTGGAGCAAACTACTGTATAAAGGACTTGAAACAGTTAGATTTTTTTATTTTTTTTTTTGTATATTTTGGAGGAGTTAACGGGAGGAGCAGACAGGGGAGAGAGAAATTGCGTTTGATCTCATTAAGGGTAGTTTCGAAAAATTATGTCAATTTTACTCTGAAGGCTAAAAAATGTGCTGGCAATATCATTAGCCTATTGAGTGTAGCGCATTGCATGGATAAGTTTGGTAGCAATTAAGTGCGTGCCGAAGAAACCATGTTCCCTATGAACAAAAACGAACTTCAATTTTTTGTCGGCAAAGATTGAAGTAAGTTATGATGGTCACATGATTGGATTGGGTGGATCCGATGGTCTGGTCTAGTCCACCACCTTATAATTTGTTGCTCCATTTTGGATGGGTGAGCGAAATCAGGCTTCTAAAAATTTCAAGTTATGATTGAGGCAGGGATAGACTAATTAAATCAATTTTCTTTTTGTGTATTGAACTTAGTGTTTGGAAACACCTTTTTCATTAATCTGGATTCGAGAGGTTAAAGTCTCCTTAAACGGTGCTATTATTTGCTTGTCGATAGTATCGCGTTTGCTCACAACCCTAGACAAATGTAAATTAGTTAATTAACAAGCAAACATGTAACACTTTTCAATTGTGTACCTAAATAAATGTACTAGTTTTTATTGATCATTCAAAACATTACATTATATTATATGTGATGCTAAAAGATATTCTCACGTCTCATTATTTTCTACCCTCTGATGCACACAAACAATACATAGTTTTTTAGAAAAAAAAAAAGAAAGAAAAGAGAGACCGGAAATCCTAATTGGTTGGCTCTCTGATGCATTATGCATAGTAGTAGTACTCCAATATTTTTCATTTGGTTGGCTCAAGGTAGTATTCTTCTTGAGTTATGGCTTGAATGTCATCCAAATTTTGAGGATATTGATGTATTTCGTCACTCCAAGGATTGGATTCCTCAAACTCCACGAGCTTATTTGCCCGCCAAATCACACTACTACATTTGAATCCAGAACCAAAAGCCATCTGCCACAATAAATCACCTTTCTTAATCCGTCCTTTTGCCTCAGCATAAGCCAGTGCATACCAAACCGAACTACTCGAAGTGTTGCCGAACCGGTAAAGTGTCATCCTGGAAGCTTCCATTGCCAAATCACTGAATCCCAACTTATTCTGCAAGTCATCCAACACCGGCTTCCCGCCCACATGCGGGAAGAAATGATCAATCCCTTTGCTGAAATTCGGGATAAATTTCTCCACATTTCGGGATTTGAGTATTTTTCTCGCAATGACGTTTTTCAGGAAGAGATATTGTTCGGACAATGGAAGAATTAAGGGTCCAAGTGAGGTTAAGTTCAGTTTAATAACCTCTGCCGCGGAGACTAAGAGATCTTTGTTAATGGTGACTCCCACCAGACCGGAGTCGTCTTCTTCCTGGAATATGCACCTGTAGGATGTGTCGGAGCTTGCGGTGTGCGTTTGGACGGTGTGGATTAGCTGGTATTTTGATGTTTTCTGATCCGACGGCTTGTTTGATAGCAGGATCGCGGCTCCCCCGAGTCGGAATAGGCCGTTGACTACCACCTTAGATCGGTCGTTGCCTCTGTAATATTGACCTGATATGTTTTCTGTACTTACTACTATTGCATTAGTGTTGGGATGAACCTGCAGGATTTGACATTTACAGAACAATTCAAATGCGGATTTCTCCCCTCACTTGTGTTCAATTACCATGGTATAAGTATGTGTACTTGTGACGAAAATCTTGCCAACGTATAAAAAAAAAATCAATTAATGTCGTACCATCTCTGAAATCAAAACGATTTTTTCCGAATAATATACATATCCATACACACACACACACACACATATATATTAGCATGACTTTTATTTTGAAATCGATAATCACATTTGCATATAACTTATAGTTTAATTTATTGTTCAGTTTGGATTTTCATCTTTAGTTCAATTTATACTAGAAATGAAAATTCAAACATGACAATAATTTTTGGACGGAAGGAGTATAATAAAATAACGATAAATATAATAAATAATTCTGACATTTTTTTTTCCGATCGAGATATGGTTAAAACACGATATATAGTTTGAAACAGTGATCTAGAGAGTAAGGAGGATATATAAAAAATAAAGTGTAACCTTAAGAAGCTGCTTCACAAGACCGATTGCCACAAGACCACAACTGCATCCCATGCCACCAAGGCTATAACTCGCAATGGTGTCCCTCAACTTGTAATGATTCACAATGGCACTTGTAAAAGAAGGAACCTCTTGAAACAGAGAGCAATTAACAATCAAAATCCCGATATCTTGTACTTGTACTTTCGTCTTTGCTAATAGCTCATCAATGGCTCCGAACATAACCTTTTCCGTCTCACGGCGGGCCGATACCAACGACATCTCGTACGGAACCCGAGTCAGATTCTCCGGCAGGTAAGTGAAGTCACTCAATCCGGCTTTGTCCATCAACATCCTCATGAATTGGATGGTTTCATCGGTGTGGAATCCAGTGAGTTTAGCACGTTGACTTGTCGTATCTTTACTGATTGACTCACTCGGGCTAGGTTTGTAACAAGCAAAATCTACCAAGAAAACCTTTTGTTGACGTTTAAGCGACACAAAATGCATCAGTATCATGAAGAATGTTGAAGTGATTAGTGCCATGAAAACGAGCAATAGAGAGGTAGAAAATTTGTTACTCGTGATCGAATTGAATTCCAACATGGCGACTACTTTTTGCAAAAGAAGAAGAGAACGCTGAAAATATGAAAAGTGAAGTGTAGTAATGCAATTGCAAGTACGTTTCTTCAGCCTGGTTGCTGAATTTATTGCCTCTTGAATTGATGCATGCATAAGGTTAGAATTAATTGTTGCGTCTTCTAAAGATAAATTCTTTTCGACCTATTTTTTGTTGATCATTAAAATTTGTTATGCGTCCACATCAGTTGTTGTTACTCGTAACCCTACTTGCTTCAACTACTATGAGATCATGTAAATCGAAATGGTTGAAATAGTTGAATCGGAATATTGTTCGATCGGATCTGATCATCAGACTATTAGCTCCTTAACGATTGTTTGTTTCTTGTTGAAAGTTGGGGATGATATTAAATTTTAGTGGCTCCCATATTCTCATGGGACAAACAAAACTGTGTCGGCTTTGATATGGCTTTCCCTTAGATTGAATTCTTTAAAGTGTAGTACTCTCAATTCTTATTTTGAAAATCAGTCTGTAAAATCAATAACAAACACTATTCAATATTGCAAAAGAAAAAAAATTTCTTTCATCATCATCCGTGGCTTCCTCTGGTTGTGGAGTTCATCGACCCTTGAAATCATGAAAATAATTTTATGTAACAATACCGAATAGAACGCCATAACACGTTCTAATATATTATTATTGTGACACAGATGACTTAATACCTCCTCAGACAGCCCTGCTTGAGGCAAATAACTCCAACACTACGGCTTTGTTTGTTTGGTTTTTTAGTGTGTATTTTTAGGTATTTTTTATATTGAAAATATAAAAAATTGTATTGAAAATGTAAAAAAACATACTGAAATGGGACAGTTAATATTTAATTATTTTAAAAATACCATAAAAAAAAAACCAAACAAAGCCTACAAGACTAAATAAAAACCAACGATTTTTTGGTTAAACATATTTCCTGGTGGGCCGACAATTCGGATAATAGGGCTGGGTTGGTGATTAACTAAGCTGAGATTGGGGTTGGACTTCACAAGCCTACTAAAATCAGACTTACGGATTGAAGAAATTGTGTGAGAACTGAGGATAATACGAAATATACTTTGAGAAAAATTTGCTTATGAAGTGTAATTTAACAGGAACGGATTATTATTATTCATTATTTTTCTTCTTCACAAATTGGATGGACCTCATCAAAGATTTATTCGGTTCAAAAAGAAAATAAGATATATCATCCCTTCGACACGAAATAATCATTTTATTAAATTAAAACTCCTATTGTTTTGAAATTATGGAGCGCACTACTATGCTAGAATGTTTGTTGTATTAGGACTTTAGACTTTTATTAGTGACCTAACTTCAAAGGAAAAAACAAATCAGGTGCCAAAAAATCTTCTCTATTAGGCTTCCACCGTCCAACTATCCAAGGGGGTCCATACCAATTCAACTCTCTATTAGCATGTTGAAATCTAGATTACATGTTAGACTCACTCCCATTACATTTTATGGTTCCCAAAATTTCTTTTTTAAAAAAATTAAATGAGAAATTGCCGATTATTAAAAGAAAAATGATAGAGATAGTGAAAAAGGTATAGTAAAAATTTATAGTAATAATGTATTTGTACTGATTAGGTGTAAAAATGTAATTTTAGGAAAAAAAAATAAATTTTAACGATCTCTACATACCAATCATTTTTCTTACTGTGCTTGTTGTTTTCATTATTAGAAATTCGATAGGGAAGAGATCATACTCAAACACACACATCTTTGAAGAATCGGACATTCACATCAGAGACAAACTCACAAATTATTTTACTAATTTATCATCAAATCACATTTTTTTACAAACAATGCATTTTTTGTAGTTGACCAAATACTATTAATAATCAAATTAAATAATTAATTTCGGAAGTTCGAGGCATTTAATTTTAGAAGACTATAGATATGATATGATATAAAACCTCGTTAATGTTTGAACTTTGAACTTCAAGTCAGCCGTTTGATTACACCACTCCCAAACAAACACGTCAGAAGGAGACCACTCTAACTTCACCGTTATACCCCTCGCTGCCGTAACTGCTTGAGAAAAAAGCCTCTCCTTCAATTAACGCCGTCAGATTCTCATTCCATCCGTCAAGAGGGTAAGGAATCTCCTACTTCGCGGCGCTGGTCGGTACCCTCAAATCCTACACAAGCCAAAGAAATCTCAGACGTCAGGAAAGCTTCCGATTCGCCAAACCGGGGAAACAGTGGGGCCCACGATACTTAACCCCCGCACCCTCATTTTTGGTTTCCTCTGAGATCCCTCTCCCTCGCTTGCTTGTCTAACTTTCGTTAGAAAAATCGAATTTAGTATCGAAAAAGCCGTCCTTTGCCCGGTTTGAATGACTTTGTGATCTTCAATTTTATTCCGTTTCCTCCTCCATTTGTTCTTTCTTTCTTTTGTTTTGGCCTTTCTTCCAAATCTCAGTTAATTTTTCTCTCTCTGTCTGCAACAGTAGACTTTTATCTGCAAGTGTGTTAACTCCCACTGCATCTTGTAGAATTTGCAAGACTGTGCTGTGTGCAGATCAATGCTGCAGATTTCGAAATGGGTTGGGCTCTGTTCATTCGTTTTATGGTTTTTGGCATCTGGGTCGTTCTCGATTGACGACATTGACATCCATCAGGCGTAAGACTTCTTTCCCATTTCTTCTGGCCATAAATTAGAAAAGCTTGTTTCTTTGAATTACGGGACAACACATTTATTGTCTTTGCTGATATTGTTCACCGCATTGCGGTTTCTCAATTTTGTTAACTGAATTTCAGTTATTATATGCCTGAGTATGTTTCGTAAAATAACTTAATTTCACAAGAGGAATTAGAGAATGTGAGATTTTTCAGTTTATTTGCTCTGGAGATCATCCGCATTGGCACTGCCTCAGTGCCTCGTCATTGATAGGAAAAAGTGGTGTTCGCGATTTTTGGTGTCTTCTGAAGTTAATAGGCCGAAAATCATGCGGAAAAAATAGCGTTGCTTCTTTTGGCTGGGATACGGTGGAATAAATAGTTTTGGAGTTTGGGAAAAAAATATTGATTTCTAGTTGGGATTGGATTTAGAAATGAGAAATTTTCAATTTTTATTGTTATTTATGACTGCTTCTGACCAATTGCCCTCATGCACAAGTCATATTACTGGAAGAGATCAGTCTGTCTATTGTTCAGTTAGGTTGGATTATCCAATCCCATTATAATTCAACATTATGGATCTAATTGTACTGGTTACGAAGTCTATTGAAGCTGGTGGAGGTAAAATGGTCAGTGATTATGTGACTTGTTGCACATGCGCAAGTGTATTTCGGTATGATAAGGATCCTTCTCGAGATCCCATCTTAATGTGATAAATGGGGGTGGGTGTACTATGTTTTAGGTTATTTGATATGACTGCTGCATCGATAAACCTAAATCTCGTGACTTCTTGCGTTGGTTCTCATAAATGATTTTCGGTAAAATTTTCCCGTGATGGGAAATTGATATCATGATTTTTTTTTTTCCTGGCTTTTGTGTTTAGTTTTCTGGTGATGCCTCGGTAACATTAATGGTTTGTTGATCACAAGAGTATATTTTCAGCCATAGCAAGTCTTAATTGTTTTTGGATTATCATTAGATAAAATATTATTAGTCCGAGATGAAGTGTTTTGTGTTTTGATCTCTTAAAGTTTAATTGTTTAGAATCATAAACAAGGCTCAGCTATTCAGATAAGTCATTTGTGTTAATAATTAGTCATTGTACGAAGCTATGCTCTATTTTATATTTGAGGTATTATTTTCCTGGTCAGGCATGAAAATCAATAGGTTTACTGCAGGTTTGAGAAAATAGTACTGAGATTACTTAATATAGGAAACCGGATGTTATAGGTTGGAAGTTTATGTGCTGTCCAAGTTGGCCCGGCTTGGCTTATTCATACATATATTCATGTTGAGCAGCTGAGATCGTGATGCTGCTTTAATTTATGTTATTTTAGTATCCATGTCTTTGATCCTTTTATACAGTGACTTTGTTAGTTTAAATGTTTGGTTTGATAATTATCTCTTAATCTAATTGTCATATTTGTTTTATGGAAACCAAAGTTTATAGTTTTATTTTTGTTTCTTTTTCTTCCTCTGTGCATATTTTTTTTTTTAAATTTTATTTTGGTTTTTCATGTCTTCTTTGCCTTTTTGCTTGGTCAGGTTTCCCATTGTTGAGCCGGATCCTGGTCATACTAAACTTCGTCTTTCAAGGGAAGGACTGGAGGCGATTGAGAGAATAACAAACCCTATTGCAGCCGTTGCTGTAAGCTTCTCTTTTATCTGACCATCCCCTGCCTTTTCTGTGTGAATTTAGCTTTGGCGTACTTGATTATGTTGTCATCCTCATGGTGTTTGAGGTTAAAGCATGACGATATAATGATTTTTTTTTTAATTATTAGAGAATTTGTTAATCTTGGCTTTGTTCATCTCTGTCTTTTGATTCTTCTTATTTTCCCGTCGATGTATATGCACATGGCTTCTGCTTTCCATTAAAGAGCCTTCAAAGGAAGTAGTGTATTTTGACAACTATTTTATTTAGGATGTTATGATGATCCCTGCCATTGTTTTGTGGTTGTATCTGTAGGTAATTGGTCCGTATCGCTCCGGAAAATCCTTTTTGCTCAATCAACTTCTCTCTCTTTCTTGTAATGAAGGTGAAACCTTTTGTAACCGTTTCTTCTTGCTTGTAACTCCTTTTCTTTCTTCTCTTCTCTTATTCTCAATTTGGCTTATATAATTCAGGTTTTGGGGTTGGGCACATGCGTGACACAAAGACAAAAGGTAATCATTGTGTATAGGTAGCTAAGCAAATCATGACTATAAAGAGGCCGTTATCGATTTGCTCAATTATTGAAAACTACGTTTCCTCTTTTCATTTTTTTTAAGTGCAGGTATATGGGTGTGGGGAACCCCAATTGAAATGGATATTAATGGAGTGAAAACCTCTGTCTTCTACCTTGACACGGAAGGATTTGAAAGTGTTGGAAAGTCAAATGTATATGATGACCGGTAATCTCGGAGTTTACATTTGTTACCTGTGTTTGATGAGCTTCAAATGTCTATGTTTTAATCTCTCTTTTTTTTTTTTTTTGTGGCAGGATATTTGCCTTGGCAACTGTTCTGAGTTCGGTTCTTATATACAACCTTCCTGAGACGGTCTGCTCTCTCTCTCTCTCTCTCTCTCTCTCTCTCTATCTATCTATCTACACACACACACACAACACGCACACACACGGAGATGTTTTATGCCACTTGTCGTTCTTTTTCCCAATGCTATTCTTGCATAGAAAAACCTGGAGTCCTAATTTCCTGGGTGCTGGAATTTCAAGAGTTATTTTCTTTCAATTGGTCAATGTCACCATACTTATTTTTTCATTCTCCAGTGATTCAGAGTTCTTATCCTACGTTTTTATTTTCCCTATTACCCCTACTGCGGCTTTTTATCTTATTCTGTCTTCCCTTAATAATTTTTTTTCTTTTTGTAGATACGTGAAGCAGACATTTCACGGCTTTCGTTTGCAGTTGAGCTGGCTGAGGAATTTTATGGAAGGTATGGAACTCCAACCTTCTGGAAGTGATTTTGCACTGGCTTCCTGCTTGTTTATGATTCAACAAATTCCTCTCTCCTCCTCATTCTTATATTTCTTTTCTCTTTTCTCTTTTCTTGTCCAAATATGATGATGCTCTGTTACGTACCTGCTTGTTGCATGCAGAGTGAAGGTAATACCTGCACCTTATGAAATTTTAATTTTTTTTTATGTGAAGAAAGTTAGAGAAACTTCATGAGTTTTTTATTCCTTTGAACTGGTCATGTGAGCAGGGACAAGATGTTGCTTTTGAACCAGCTAAACTCCTATGGCTTATCCAGCGTGATTTTCTCCGTAAGTTAACTTTATCTAGTTTTGACTCTGTAGAATACGCTATCCTCGAGCTGATAAAAGATTTTTCCAGGAAATGATAACATATTACATGAAAATTCTTTACATCATTCGTTAAGTTTGGAGTACTGATTTATTTTTCCCCCTTAAAGATCTTAAAATTTAGCATTTATTTTTTATAGTTAACCCGCAGGTATTAAGTTTGTTATCACTTTTTATTTGTGCAGAAGGAAAATCTGTACAGCAAATGGTTAATGAAGCCCTGCAACATGTGCCTAATTCTGATGGTTAGTTTTCCTCCTAGCTATATGTTTATTCTGGAGCAGATCTCATGTGTAGGAAATTAATAATCCCTGCTTATTGTGTTGGCAGGGGACAAAAATATTGACCTGGTAATATATATAATTTCTTTCCCCTTGATATCTAAATTGCCTTTTTTTTTTTTGAGAATTTAAATTATTAAAATTTTGAAATTATCAGGTTAATCAGATTCGCGATTCTCTGGCTGTAATGGGTGACAACAGCACAGCTTTCAGCTTACCGCAGGTAATAGGGATTCTTTTTTCACATTGGATTTTTTTTTTTCCTTGTACATGGTGCATTTCACATTTGGACTTCTGTTTATGTTGTTGGGTGGGGTTAGAGGTTACACATGGTGACTGCGAGATACTAGTCTAAGACTAGCCAACTAAATCAGTAACAAAAGCAAACCTCATGAGCCTCAAGTATTCTGGTAACTACTTTGGGAGTCGTAGTTTACACAGCTGAGAACTTAACTAACCGCTAGTAGCATCTTGCTCGATGATCAACATTATGTTTTATGTTTTAGTCGCAGAAAACATTACATACTGTACATGATATTTCAATTTGTTGTTGATGCAGCCCCATCTACAGCGGACCAAGCTCTGTGAAATGAATGATGGAGACCTTGACCCGCTTTATGTAAAGAGGAGGGAGCAACTGAAAGAAGTTGTTTCATCTATTATTCGTCCCAAGATTGTCCAGGGTAAAACTTTAACTGGGAAGGAGTTTGTCTCTTTTCTTGAGCAGGTATTGTCTAATATAGATCAGAAAGCTAATCCCTATGCCTTTTGGGGGATATGCTTTGTTAGATAGTAGCAACGGTTGCAAATTTTTGATGTCTAGATGATTTATAATGGTGCAGCAAAGTGTCCTTTTTTTTTTTTTTTTCCTAAAAACTACTCTGTTGTTGATAAATGGTTTTGAGATAGAGTTTGGCAGTCCCATTAAATTTCTTTCATCTTCCTCTTCTGAATGGTTCGTTTTGAAACTGTTTAGGTCTGTCTTAAATTACAAGTACCACTTGATTTTCATTATCAAAAGATCTGTTCATTGCTATTACATCATTTCTTACTTTTTTAGAATGTGATTTTGAATTGTTAGTCCTTTGAACTTTTCAGATTCTTGAAGCCTTGAATAAAGGAGAGATTCCATCAACTGGTTCTCTTGTTGAAGTTTTTAATAAGGGAATTCTGGAGAGGTGCCTGAAGCTGTACAGTGATAAGATTAATAACTTAATTCTGCCAATGACAGAGGAAGATCTTCAAGGAGCTCATGAGGGTTTTAGAGAAGATGCTATGAAGATGTTTGATGAGCAACATTTTGGACGGCATCATGCCAAGAAATCAGTTGAGGCATTGGATGAGGAGATTGAGAAGGTTCAAGTTCTGATTCTGAACCACTTACCTTTGATAGAACTCATAACTTTGGACATTTTTGCTCATTTTCATGCTTGTGCAGGTGCACAAGAACTTCATATTGGCAAATGAGTATCAATCTTCAAGAATATGTGAGTCACTGTACACAAGATGTGAGGATAAGATGGATGAGCTTCAAGTGCTCAAACTTCCTTCTATGGCGAAATTCAATGCTGGCTTCCTTCAGTGCAACCAGAGCTTCGAACATGAATGTGTTGGGCCTTCTAAAAGTAGCTATGAGCAGCGGATGATGAAGGTTTTAATATTTTTCCTTTAATGCATTATTCTGTTTCCTAATTTGAGTTTTGAGAGGGAGGGAGGGGGCGTCCATACTCCATAGTTGCTTATTTTCTGCTCTATGAGATGAGGGTAATTGAAGTTGTCATTGCAGTTGAGGATGGCGGCTCTATTAACAACTCAAGATTTGTTGTTTACATTTGAGTAATACATATTTCTCAATACGTATTGGGAATTGATTATAATTTGAACTAAAAAGCCTAAAAGCACTTCATGCATTGTTGAAAGGGATGCTGGAAGATTGGTTATATTCCTAGAATCTAATGAGTACATGATGAGCATATAGTCAAACCTCAACATGGATCAACCTAAAGGCTTTGAGCTTCTGAACTTTTTATCTTTAGTGAGTTAATTACTAGCTATTATTGACAATGAGCTCTTAGATGCTATATAAATTTGCGCAGTTTCCACTTTCCACTGTTAAAATATCGTAAACTTCTCTTATAAATACAGTTGTAGTTGTACTGGATTTTATCGCCAATCTGTCTGTATTGACTGATCAGTTGTGTTGGACCATTTGAAATTTCATGCATAATGGTTATAGAAGGCAGACATTAAAGTAAAAAAACAAAGATATTTATCAAGAAGGTGGAATGTTTCTTTGAAAACACTATTTTGTTTAGGACCATTTTAAATTTGATTGTGTCTCTAGTGTTTGTCTATGCACTGAATTGGATTTGACATTTGTACCATTCTTTGCAGATGTTAGGGAAGTCAAAAACACTGTTTATCAAGGAATATAACCACCGACTCTTTAATTGGTTGGTGGCTTTTTCACTAGTAATGGTGGTGGTGGGTCGTTTCATTATAAAGTTCTTTTTAGTTGAAATTGCGGCTTGGATACTCTTCATCTTTTTAGAGACATATACAAGGATGTTTTGGTCAGCAGAGTCTCTCTATTACAACCCAGTTTGGCACGGCATTGTCGCATCCTGGGAAACTGTTGTTTACAGCCCTATCCTTGACTTGGACAGGTAATGAATGCAAAGCTTCTGTGTGTTTCCTTGATTTGATAATATATTTGTCTGTTTTCATTTACTTACTTATTCTTGTTTCCTTTCTCTATTTAAGATTCTATTAGAAGTTGGGATACTTGCCACTCGTGGCAAGAATGTTGTGCTCCTTGATGTATTTTCACTTGTCATTTGAGAAATTAAATGTATGATTGGTGTTGTGAAATCCACTAATATGAGTCCATCTTTTGCACTGGTGATAAGTGGTTAGAAGTTGGAAAAGAATTTGTTACAAGAAAATATTTGTCATACTATGTGGAACCTGCCAGGTTTTACATTCCTTTTTATGTTGCAACAGATGGGCAATCCCGATTTGTGTAGTTGCTGCTATGTTCTTAGTTTATTGGCGGTGTTACGGGAGAAGGAAACATGGGTCACGATGGCTATTGCCAATGTATAATACTCATAAAGAGGAACGGAGATCAGAATGAACTGAAGAGCGGTCATTTCATAAGCTTGTTGTTGCATTGTTATACAGCTGCTTTTGGTGTTGCATAGCAAGCTGGCCTCGGCTGTGCTCCTTTCTGGTTTCTCACGTTGCATCCCTCAGCCGGTAAGTGCTGATCGGGGAACCTGGCGAAAGGCTCCGAAGATCTCACAGGTGCCCATGATCAAATGTTGTAGCACATTCTAACTTATACTTGGATCAAATTACACAAAATATGTACTCAGGAAAGGGTTTTAGGCTATTGATTCGAGGCATTTTGGCCTTTGGGAATGCTAGTCAATGTAACTGTAACTATGTCAAAGCAAGACATGAAACTTGCAGAATGTGAACTATACATACTTCTTATTAGTTTTACAATTGTTTGTGCATTAATGTAAGAGTGTAATTGGGTTTTCGTAAGGGAATCCAATGTTGATTTGCTTGAAGTTCTAATATTCTTTGTTATATTACAAGTTTAATTGTGAATAATGAATGAACTATTTCTTTCTTGCTTTAGAGTATCAACAATTGTTTATATACCATTATAGATGTAATAATGTAATTATTACACTTTATTATACTTTTCTCTACTTAAATTTATTTTATGAAAGTATAATAATAATAATAATATAAATATAGGCCTCCATCAAATTATATTGTGAATCACAAAATTAAGTATTAATAACTTGTTATATTCCTCCTCTAAAGATTTTTATTTATTTATTTATTTATTTTTTAACCTCTAAAGATACTCGTTGAGAACGTCAGAAAAAAATATCAATTGCAATCTGTTTCAAGGAGAAACCATGTAAAGTTTCTGATTTTTTTTTTAAAAGTACTGCATCATAAAATATGTTTTTTTTTTTAAAAAAAAAATTAATCCTCTCTCCGTTTAACCAAAAGAAAAAAAATTAATCCTCTCTCCAAAAGAAAATACACAAAAATAAAAGGGCAAACTACATTTACCCCCCTGAGTTTTGGCACTCTAACAAAATACCCCTCAAATTTTTCTAATACTGTAATTTTCCCCCTTGACCCTTAGTCAACTTACCGATCACCCCTTACTTACCAGAAACGGGACATAGCTTGTTGATGTCAGCAAAATTAGTATTCAAACAGATGAAAATGCCCCCAAAAGTGTATACTATATTTTTATAATTCCATATACTACCCTTTTTAATTATTTACAAATATGACCCCACTAATCTATTATTTTAATATTCCCAATTACATTCCCATATTGAATCCCGCCACTGTCCCACCCCCCCTCCAAAACCTCATACTGAAAGTCTTCCGACGATATTGTTGAATCCGTTGGTCGGCAAAAAAATAAAAAAAAAAAGGTTTTTTTCTAAAAAGAAAGTCAAAATGAGCATTACAGTCTTTCTAATATCAGTTTTTTTTTTCAAAATATTCTTTTTTTCTGGCAAAAAAAAATGTCATTTCAAAAGCTCCCGGCGTTGACCTGACTTTTAACCTTGTCAAAGGGAGAAATTATAGTATTAGCAAAACTTGGGGGTATTTTGTTAGAGGGCCAAAACTCAGGGGGGAAAATGTAGTTTGCCCAAAATAAAATAAAAAGGGTTTAATTGCACAAGTAAAAGCAGCCACGGTGTCGCCATTTTGGCGGGGGAATGGGTTTTCCGGCCACCTCCGGCACCACAGCGCTAGAAACTGCCTGTTCTTAACCTCTGTTTCTTCACCGCCAAACCTTTCAAGTGGACAAGTACTTAAACATATCGGACTCGAAAAAACTGTCTTTAATCCTCGCCGGCATTTCGGGCGATTCAACGAGAACTTTTCGTTCCACTGTTTTTTTTTTCACCGTTGAATTGGAAATAGCGCACTTCCAGCGTCTAACCTCCCTCCGGCAACGACAAATTTTGTAATACTAGTTTATTGGTCATGGGGGTGAATTGTGACGAGTCTGGATTCCGCAACTTCAGGGTGGCAAGCTCCGAGAAGAGCGCTACGCTTTTAGTCGAGGATGTGGGAAAAGCTCGGCGATTTATGGTGGCGTCGCTGGTTCCCACTCTTGCAGGCAGTAGTGCCTTGGACTGCAACTTGAACGGTGGCTGATACGTCGGAGTACAGCATGAGAACTTTGGGGTTAGTAAGCAGCTTTTAGTTTTTTTGTTTGTTTTATCCTTTGTCCATCAATTTACACCTCGAATTCTTGTAGAAAATTTTCAAAGCTGGTTGAGATCCTGGGTTGTGTAGGTAAAATCGAGTTTGTGTTTGCAATTACATTATCCTTTTTGAACGGTCTTTAATTGGACTAATAGTGTTGTACTGATCGAAGTGTTTAGTTACTAGAAAGTAAAGACAACATAGCAGAAACGGGATTGTGGAATTGACCTAGGTCAGATAAGATTACAAAGAATTGATTGCGAATGCATCACATGAAAATTGTGGATGTCCAGTAGATGGAAAAACATAGAAAACACGTTTAAGGTGTATTGGACATGTGCATAGCAGCTTAGTACCTGTCAATTGGGATATAGAACATTTAGGGTTATTAACTCTTGTTATCATAACCTCTTAACTTGAATAAAATGGAGAATCATTTACTTAATTTATCATGATACGAAAAGAAGGGAAGGGGGGATGTTTAGAAAGAGTAGAATAAAATGGAGAATCATTTGCTTAAATTATCATGATACAAAAAGAAGGGAGGGGGGATGTTTAGAAAGAGTAGGAAAGAAACTATTTTAGATGACATAATTTATTTAGACCTTCAATGGGCAAGTGTCTATTTACTGAAAACTATTATGAGATGTGATTCATTTTGACGAACTCACATGGTGGGTTAAGTGCTTGGCCTTGCTGTACAGTCCTAAGATTATTTAGTCAAAATTGTGATAAAAATTACTGTAAAGTTACTGCATATGGGTATTAATTTTTGTGATTTTGTTTTAAGTGATTTCCTTATTAGCTGAACCATGCAATAATTTACAATAAGATTTCCTGGCTGGCTTGACATTATTAGTTTTCTTCTTTTACCCCTATTTCTAGGCCCTGGCAATTTAGTGATGTATGAGTACATTCAATTTTTTAAATGAATTACGAGACTTGTCAGCCTGCAGACATAGCTATCAATTAAATAGCAAACATTCATTTGAATTTTATTAAGAAACTCAGGAGTGGAAATTCTCCCTGGCTTAAAGGACAACGTTGGTCTTAGAACATAATACTCATATATCCCTAGTGTATTGTCATCATTTTCACTTGCAAACCTTTTCATTATTGTTTGGATGGGGTGTAGATAGGTATTATTATGTGTTTCTATGATCTAGTAGAATTATGGACCTTGTTGGCATATTATGTTGTGGTTTATAGAATGCAGCTCTACATTGGAAAAATACACTTGAACTACTGCTGTTTTTTTCATTTCCAATTGAGATGACTAAGCATAGAATGTAGAGATGTCATTATAACCAAAGCAAATGATTCATGAATAATTCTCTATATTCTGTTAAATCTGCTTATGGTCGATACTTATGTGGTTCTCTGCGCAGATGTTTAGTACAAGCAAACTAACCAAACTCAGGACTTCTTTTTTCAAAGTTTACTATAAGGCAGTGAAATCTGTTTTTTCACCCCTTTGAATGACATGTGTTGGAAGTTTTTGTTAGTACCTAGACAAAAGCAAGGCAAAAAGTTAGCTTCTTGCACTCACTTTAAGAACTGGACAAATTCATTTGTCTAGAAATACGTGATTTCATTTCGATACAAATTGTAGTGAACTTCAACCTTTTATGAGTTCTCTAACCCTGAGATCTCTATTCACCGAAGGATCTAGCTTGTAATTGTGACTTCTTCCAGTCTTGATTCCCTGAAATACTATCTTGGTAATTAGCATTTTAGGAGTGTGTTCTTTCCATTTTTGTGGTGAAAACCATTAACTTTTTGTAATTAATGGTATTTTGATGTTCTTGTACGGATTCCAGGATCACATTCCAGTGTTTTTTCCGAGGAGAGAAATATGAAGGGAGGTCAGGGCTTCAATACTTGTTTCTGAAGCAAATTTTACCCAGAGTTCTAGTGGCTGTTTTGCGGCGGACTTTACTGATCTGTATCTGTTTTTTATTCTGTGTGATGCTTTATATTGGTGGGCTTTTCTTTTCTAGGAGAATTCAATTTCTTCGATGAATAGCAAACATTAGAATGTCTCATCTACTTTTGAATTATGTAAGAAATTCTTAGAAACTCAATCTTTTGGGCTGGAAGATGGGATCTTTTTTTTCATGAAATCAGCTTTGAAAGGCCTTGTTTTGCTTGGATTCACTACTGTTTAATTTGTTCACTTACAAACTACACTGTTATATTTCAATTACAATGGTAGATTGGAAATGTTCTTCTTTTGTTACTTAATTGGTAGCATTAGAATGTTACTTCTGAAAGGAAATAGGGATTTTGACTGTATTGCATGGAATGAACTGTTTGATTGATTCATTTATTGGTATATCTTAATTAAGACATTCTTAATTACCAAATATTGGGCGAAAGGATATATCTCACAGATGTGTCAGTTAGCTTAAATTTGAAAGCATCTTTAGCACATTGATGTTCTGAAGAGGGTTTTCTGGTGCATGTGGTGTCCCTGACCAAAGCAAAGAATTTAATGAGTCTTTGAAAGGGAAAAAGTGAGAGGAAATAAGTAGATTTTGTTTGGGTGAAATTGATACCACTTAACCTTGTATTCATGTAGATTTGTCTCCAAATCAAATATGATCAGTTAACTATTTGGTTGATTTAGAGTTCATATGCAAATATTGACCGCTAGAACGCTTTTGGCATGATATGAATTTGATCCAGCCCATTTAGCTCTATACTTACGGACATATTGCTATTACACATGTGATATACAGATTGGTTTCTGAACCAAATTGCTAAAAGTTTTGTTAAATCTTTTGTTTGTTCAATGGTTTCCATAAAAGAAAGCGAGTCTGGAGGCCAATGAGATTGAAATTGTGCTGAATGTTTTCCGGTCATCTGTTTGTGGTATCAATCAAGCAACAGGGAAATAATTTGCTTGCTACATTGCACTGACCAAGTATTGATGAACATGGATACATTTTAATTTTTCAAAACCTTTTAAACAAGTTAGGGGTTTGGAGAGTTATAGATGACGATTTACAATGCAGAAACTTTCATACTAGGGTTAAGATAACTTTTAGCAAGCAGTTCAATGTTTCTACGTTTGGTTCGATATTATTCTTGTTGCTGTATTCCGTCATGCAGAGATGTCATGTACTAGAAGACAATGAGCAATAGGAGCATGAAAACCTTCTAAGCGTAACCCTCTGAATTCATTTAAGAAAAGTTGAAATTCAGCCAAAAGTGTGTGGCCTGTTTACCCATGGTTTTGAATCACATTTCATCACCGAGGGTGCATTTCTTTGTCGCTCTCTTATTGTTTTCCTTTGTTCTTTGGGGATAATTTGTGGTTCCTGTCTTCAGATGTACTGAAGCCTTATTTTGTTTTGCCATTTATCACGAGCCTTTACTTGTTTTAAAGTCTTTTAGGTCTATGCATTGTTTGGACCTTAGAGTTGTGTCTCTAGGGCTGGTGCAGAAGATAGAAAATGTTTTTTTTTAATATATTTTAAATTATCAGGATTTGTAGTATTTTTGCCGTGTTTTCTTTATGGAAGTAGTAGGGAATTAGACATTTGAATTGTTATAATGTCACCGGACCTTTTTGGTATCCATTTGTATGCATTTTATACATCTTCTCAATTTTTAGGTTCTTGTTAATGTGACCATTCTTCTAAATAACACTTTGCAGTTATTGGCGACTCATTTTCCAAATATCATATTCAAACTGAAACTGGCCATGCACTGGGTCATGATGATGAGGTTTGGAATCACGCCTTCCCTTACCATCTTTATAATAAATCAATTTGACTAAAGTGTTCTTCTCCGAGCTATTGCCTATATTTCCAATACCTTACTGCCTTGAGTTTTCTTAAATATTTTACTAGGACTATACAGTTGGAAGCAGTAAGCTGCAATGTGCAGATATTCTGGGGAAGAGGGTGCTGAGGAGATTTGGTGAAAGGACTTGTGAAGGCTCCGTGGAGATCTATGATAATATAAACAATACATATCAGGTCAAATCCCAATTCCTGAAAACATAGAACCTGAATTAAGTTAAAACCTTTCTGTTTCATGCGAATTCTGATATTTGGAGATAGATAATACTGAATGATCTTCTGATCACTCAAAAAGTTTTTTTCATGCACTATTTGTACTCTGGCATGTGTTTGTGGTTGCACCGATGATGCTTGCAAGCTGTTGTCCATGGAATTTTCTTCTCATGTGTGTTGCTTAACAGCAATTACCTCCATGTAGGTTATGTATGAGAATGGCCATTGTGATGAAATCGAAGGAGCAAATATTATTGATTACTTAGAGCAAAACAGGTAACAATCGGTGCTTTCATCTGAACTACATATTATGTTTATACATGAAAGGTAAAAGTTGATTTTAGCATGAAAGAACTAAGACCGAGAAATCTTGTGATTGTCAAACATGAACCAGCTTTTCCAACTCGTATTTTTGAGTGCATTGTGTTTTATTAGAACAGTGACAGAAAAATATCAGTTTTTTTATGTGCTGATGAACCCTAATGTGAATGGGATAATTAATATTAGTGGTCTCCGTTTTACTTGCACAAGTTGTTGCTTAATGTCATATAACAAACAACCAAAAGTGTTTTGTTTGAAGGGGGGGAATGCATAATTGGGTAGGTACAATGTTTACAATGCATTTAATCTTTCGAAATTCAATTTTAAACTTTCCACCAAGTTTATCAGATCTGGGTTTCACTCATTTCATGTTTAATGAACCTGGTTTTGAGTTTCTCTGATGGAACAGTTAAGATTCTCCATGGAGTCCATAGTTTATCATCATTATTACCTGCCTAAACTGCTTTGCAATTAAGCATCTATCTTGAAATTGAACTTTAAAGACTTTTCTAGGCGCCCATGCATATTGCTTTGTTCTTTCAGGGATCATGGTGCGGGTGGAAATGCTTCTTCCCAGCAGCCGAAGGAACTGGCTACTACTGAGCATGGAATAATCATGCGTGGTGCTCCTGTGCCTCGACCAGAGGTGGACGAAGGCGAAAGAAGCGGAGGGTATAGAGCCCTGAGAATAAGAGCAATTAATGCAGAGAAAACTAGCAGGCGGAAGCAAGGGAAGAAACGCAAGGCTTCATCCTCAGGCCGGGAAGGGAAAAAACGTGAAAATGTCACCCGAGCTGCTCCGGTGCACCAGTCAGATGAATGTACTGAGAAAAAGGGTCCACATAGGGCTCTCAGGATCCGAGCTTCAGATGCTTGATGGTAGTAATGTCCTTTTTCTGAGGCTGGTTTACTACTGAATCCCCAGCGATACTAAGATCAGCCTGCATTGCGGTTTGAACTTTGAACTGCTGGAGCTCATATATGTTTTAGTTTTCTCTTTTCAAGCTCTTTTGAGTCTATTCCTTATGGATATTTCAGTGTCTTGTTATTTTTCTGGTACTTTTTGTTTGAACTCTGAATTCGAGCATGTAGGAATTTAAAGGTACTGTAGAAATTTTTTCTCGGACTTTCAGTTCAACCCTTCATATGTCTGAATTTAAAATCTTATTCTCAAGCTGCTCTAACTTTTTCTTTTACTGGACATAATTTTCGGTCACGGTATCATTCTTCCATATAAGTGTTGGGTTCTTTTTCTTTCTTTTTTTTATTTTTTATTAATCAATGTTTCATAATATCTTTTTATATTTTCAATATATTTTTACGTTTCCACTGAAAAACAATTCAAATAATTTATTTTCTTCAACATATATGGTGAAAAGAGAGAGATTGACTGTAACGCACATGAATCGGAAAAAATTAGAAAATGTTGTAGTATTTCTTAATGAAAACCGTACAGAAGTTGAATGAAGTCTGAAGGGATATCTATCAAATTATGAACCCTCAAGAAATCAATTACTATGAGCTATCAGGAACTTGAAGCCAAACAAGTAGTTTAACGGTAATTGCGGTAGACTGGTACTCAATTTATGCACTTCTTTGTACAATAAAGATAATCCACATTGTGAATTGGAGTATTATTTATGATAATAGTAATATTTTGTAACAATTGTGTTTTTTTTTTTAATATTTGTTGTATTTGTTGGGGTGTTATAGTATTGGATTACTCAGCTAGAAGTGAAAAAAAATAATACAAATAAGATTTTCTGTTGAGTGGACAAGTAAATAATACGACCTCTGGCGAAAAAAAGAAACGACGCCGTGTTATTGAAAAAAAGCCGCGAAGTTCTGCAACAAAATTACAGACTACTGCAATAATTTTCTCTGGTAATTAGGCGATACATCAATAAATTAACGGATTTATCCTTCCCTCTTACTTCAAATTTCCACTTGCAAGAAGAATCCCTAATTATTGATTATCTTCAGCCGTGATATGGAGACCGAATGTTGTGTCTTACTCTCGAATCGTATTGAACCATGTTATAGAATAGTCGCTGTTCATCCATTTCGGCTCGATGCGGCACCGTCATCGGTCGGAGTATTCCTTAACTCGGTGAAAATGTGAGTCACAGGTTTCGCACTGTAGTGAAACGATCTTCCGAATTCACGAGGAGCAATTTTTTGATGGAAAGGTGCCAAAACCGATCCCCGCCGCAAGGCATAATGTTCTCTACCTCGGAGTAGAGTGCAGTTTTGCTATCATCGAAGCAACTCCGGTGAAAATTTGTAACTCAAGTTGAAATGGCGGAGGTTCCGGTGGCTGTAGCGACGCCGTCCGTGCCGTGAGTTCAACGTTCTGAGTTTGTACAGGAGAGATGAAGGTAGACAACCTGAGCGAACCGATGTCTCAGTTATTTTCTTTTCTTCTTTACTTTGTTAATAATTTGTTTCCGATGATTAACTGTTTTTCCCGATTTTAGTTCTTCAAACTAAACTATACGTTAATGTTGAAGTTTATTTATGACTCAGCAGATATAAAAGTGCAATAATTTTGCGTTATGTCTTTGCTGTTTTTACTTCATAGTAAGATTTGGATACATTCACGTTCTTTATGCTTTCAATGTATTACCTTTTAAGCTTTGTGTAATTAGCTTCCCCAACAATGAATTATCTCTGCTGTTTTGAAATATGTGACTTGGTTCATTGAAATCTGTCATGCTGAATCATCTGAGCTGGACATATCTGCTTGGTCAAAAAATATCCTAATATGGTCCATTCTTGCTGAATGCGTTAGAATGACATCACCTAATACATCTCTCTACTGCTTTTGCCATCTTGGCAGAACAATTAGGCTCTATGACGGGCTTTGAAGACGTATAGCTAGAAAGGTAACTAGTGGTGCCAAGAATTTGAATATTGTATAAAACTCAACTGGCAGGGAAGGTCATTAGATTTGAACCGTTTAATTCTTGTATTGATTCTTCTCTTTACTGCCCAAATCAGGGAAGTGGCTGTGATTTTCGAACATTTTATTAGTAGAGTCTTGAGTATTTTGAAGAAATTATCTAAAGAAAGCCATTAAGGAACAACAGCTTGTTTATAACTTATTAAACGGTCTAGGATGAGAAGGCCTCCAATCCTTGCCTGCTCTTTTTAAGAATGTAGCTTGGTTAAAGTTCTTTATAAAAAAAATGCCAAAAACAAAAAGGAACTTTCTTACCGTGGGGTATGCAACTACAGAACTGGATGTAGGATTTGTAGAATTGAACATCTACCTCTTATGCTATTGATAGGTAACTGAAAGATTCAAAGCTTTTCTTATTGGTCAGTTTCAAAATATATACACACTTTTAATTTCACGATAGTGTTTCACGTTATCTGAGTCACCATTGAGGACTACAGTTATATTTTTGTTCGCTATGCTTGTTTTTTTATGGTCTGCTAAATAGCTCCTCAATCCGTATATGACCTTAGTTTCATGAATTGAGACAGTATTATGAGCAATTTGAAAAGTTTGAAATCGTGGATAAATGTTGAAGGTTTTCAGTCAAATAAGATTCCACTATATGACAGTATTGTGCAAGTCTGTCCTACGACAAATGTAAGCGTTTGCTAAACGTGTCCTCCTTTTGACGGGTACTGTCAAAAGTTGAACGATGCTACCAAGGCAAAATATGGATAGTAACTGCTAAATCCATTTATAGAAATAAAAATTTTCTTTCAGGGTAATAAATGCTGATAATATGATATAATCTCCTCTCCTCACTTACATCCCCCCTTAGATTTCCTCAATTCAGTAGATCTCTCCTTACCAAACATTATAGCCAGGCAAGTTCTTCTAATTTGCTGCCTGAAATTCTTAAGACTAGTATACATTTTCTTTTCCTAAGCTTCATTTGCACAGTTTGAATGCTGCTGTACTTTTTTATTCTTTTGTGATTTTCTTTTTCTTTCTTCTCTTGGTGGAAAGAGGCTGATGATGTATTTATTTTTTCAGATTTCCTGTTGTGATTGGAAGATGAATCGTGTGGTGCCTGGGAGTTCTGTTCATGGTGAGTTCTTCCAAGTTTTGCTGTTTGATTTGCCAGGAATTTTTTATCTGCGAGTTGGAGTTTGGTGATGTGATGTATTTTTATCCTCTTTAAAATAATTTTAAATCAGATGTGCCTGACACAGGTGCAATTTTGTGTTTATTGATTGTCTCTTTAAATAAGGGAGAAAAAAGGAATTCATTGTGTCTATTGATGAATATATTCTATTTGGGGATTTGGGATGCCTTTAGATTGACTGCTCTTTTGATTTACATCTTTCAAAATTTGTTTGATTTTAAACCCCCAAAACAAGAAAGAAACTTGGTTGATTGGGTAACTGCTTCCCTGAAGTTGGAAAACCTGTGAGGCATAACTACATCAGATGCACTTAAAAGTTTCTTGTCACTGTTGTTTAATGTTACACCTTCCAAGTTAGAATTATATTGTTTACATGCCAGTCAACAATTTGAAGGAGAAAAGAAAATTTGTGCCGCAAAATTTGTCCTGTACAAGGGAAACTAGTTTGAGGACTCTTGTAGTTATTGTCTTCTTTACATTATCATCCTTTAAATGAGATTTCAATCAATCTCAGTTTTCAATTGAGGAAAATGATTTGGGGTTCTCAAAAAGATTTAGTTGGACACTAGTGATATTCTTGTTTCTTCTTTTGTCTGGTGGTTCTCAGTCTTCTATAATAGAATGCTATGCTAAGCATTATTTTCTGTGGTGTTATGAAATTGTTAAATGTTACAACTGCAGTTACAAAAAGTTAGTCTTTGGGTTCAGACCAGCTTATGGGTTCAGAGTGGTGAATTATGCATTCATCACTTCAGAGTGTTTTAAATAGAATGATTGTTCTGAAGTTACTTGTACCCTTGCGGATCATGTAGTTTTAACATCATTGATTGATTATCAATACTGAAATGGTGACAGTCTCTTTGACTAGTTTCACCAGATCTGGTTGGTTTGGGATTTGCATATGAAAGATTGAAATAGTAGTCAAATGACCTAGAATGTCACTACCGTTCTTATTTTAAATTGGAAAACCCACAGGTTCATGAAGCATAATTTCTCCTTTCGAAGCTTTTTCTTATTTTTTATTTTTGTGCATGACTCATTGTATCTAAGTTGCATAAATTCTCCTTATAAATTTTTGGTCAAATTTTTCTACATGGTGATTTGTTTCAACTCTTTTTACATGGTTTGAAGGCATTAACTGATATGTGTTCAGTAGTCATTCTTTGAAGGCAGAAGTCAGTGTCAGGAGTGAAATTTGCTTAGTTTCAGGATGAGATATGGTTTGTTTTTGTTTTTGCTTGTTCTTGTTCGCCCTTTTTTTTTTTTTTTTGGTGGTTGGGGCTCATTACACAGGTTTAGTTTTCTTATTGGCGAGCCTTTCGACAGGTTCTAGTTGATGCATAAGTTATCTGAGATTGTTCAAACTATGGATTTACTGTTTGCATGAGGATCTAATGACGTCCACATCTTAATGACAGCACCAATCGTCGTTGATTCCAGAGAGAACAGCTATGCCTCGGATGATGAATCAACTGTGACCTTTCAATCTGTAGGAAGTGGCGCGTATGAGTTTGAAGTCACCCAGGTAAAATAATGTGGTCTTGCTTTGCTTTGCTGGCAGCCGGTTATCGAGTGGACACCCTAGTCAATCAGCATGCACTGTTACATTCTAATCATGACATTACTTAATTTGGCTATTTGTAGGGTGAAGTGGAATCTCCATTCAGCTTGAGTGATATATATCAGCCATTCGAGGTCGTTACTTCTTTTGTGGCTTATAATTTGTTCCGTATATGTCTGATTTTGATATTATAAAAAATGTTGAATGAGATGCTTTTGCCACATTGTGGTACGCAGACTAAGTAGTAGAATGCAAATGGCCACGTGTGTTTTACAGTTTTTAGCTAAATATGGAACTGTTATCTGCAGCCTTCAAGGATGGTTTTCTTTGGAGAAAATGAACGCATTCGACCGATTCGAGTTCCATTTGCTGTTGAGCCTACAAGGTAAGTAGTTTTCCCATTTAGTTGGCATCTGGAAAATTTTAACTTGACAGAAATAATATTTGAATCTTCTTTTGTCTGAATTTGTACTCACTTGTTACATGTGATGGACTGGAAGTCAAGGTGGTCCACAAATTATTTGTATAGTCTTTTGATTTGCATGTCTACTTGTTGATGTCTTTAGCAAAAATGCTTTTCAGGCATGTATTTCTCTAAGCATCTAATCCCCAGGTTCGGCTCTGTGTTGTTTCCCAAGTGTCGTGCTTTGTTTATGCTAGATGTTTTTTCAAAGTTCAGTTTGGTGTATTGTGGACATTGATGTTGCAGGACATTTACCAAAGCTTCATATGGATGTTCTTAAATGTATAGACTAATATGATACCTTTTAAGAGATTCCCATATATGAATTTGATGATGCATTCTTTATTCCAGGACTGATAATGGCCAGAGAATTCCACCACAACCTTTAACTAACATGCATGAGCTAGCAAACAATGTGCCAAATGAAGCTCTAGGGTTGCAGAGTCAAGGTCTCTATGTCAATTCACCTAGGCAGGCGCATCCACCTGCTAACCAACTTGAAGTCATGAACAATGTGACTAATGAAGCTCAAGGTGTCCAAGCTCAAGGTTTTAATGTGGGTTCGCCAAATGAAGCTCTGGGGGTCGAAGATGAAGATCCTGATGTCAGTTTGCCTATGAAAGGTAGTGGGCTTCGACGTTCATCAAGGAAACGTAATGAGGTATGTGTTAGATTTCACACGTTTCAGTTTCTTTTGTGTCATGATGTAAAAGACTTACCAACTTCTGTTGACTGCTTAAAAGTTCCAAACAACATGAATGGAGATTAAGCTGGACACTGTAAAATGCTTTGGATCTTTGATGATGTCTGCTTACTGGGAATCATACCTACATTTATTTCTTTTGTCTTGATGATGCTGCCAGACAGTAGGTGGTTCAATTGATTAATGTTGTAAAATTATTGTTAAAACGTTGCATGCCAATTTATAACAGCTCCAAGTTCCTTATGTATTTTTGTTAAAACCCTCCTTATATTTCTTCAGTTAAAGTTTCTATGTTCCTCCTTTAGATGTCTATTTATTCAAATGAAAAACAAAATAACCTAAAATTTCCTTTTAATAAGATTTTTCAGCTTACACATTCGACTTATTCAAAATCCTCCCATGTGCAGGCTATCTACAATGAAGATTTACTTGCCAATAGGCTGCCAAGGTAAAAGTTGCTTTGTGGTTGCTGTCTCGTTTTTCTTGGAAACTTATGTTGGTTTTTCCTTTCTTTTTTTTAATTTTTTTTATATTTTATTTTCTCAGTTGCTACAGTTGCTAGTTTTGTCGTGCCTTACATTGTTTATGTTCAGGCTTACTCGTTGGCGAGGTGAGAGCTCCCAGAAGAAGAAGCCTACTCATTGTCTTCGTATCAGAGCATCTAACCATTATCCTGCTCTCCCTAACAGTGATGATGAGGTTAGTGAGATCTCCTCTGAAACCAAAGTTACAAATAAAGCATGTGTTCTGTTTGACTAACATAGCTCTCTCATTGACAACGCAGGGCTACGAGAGTGACGATTAATGGACATGAGAAACAGAGAATGAGGGACGAAGGACAGTGGGCTGATTTACTAATATTCTAGTTTCCTCTTCTCTATGATTCATCCATTATTCCGTTTTCCGGACTGTAATAAATCCAGTAATGCTGGATCATTTAGGAAACTTTTACCTTGTTGGTGTTTTGAATTTTGTCATGAACTTTTTTTTATTTATTTTGGTATACCGTTTTCTGGACTGTAATGCATCCAGTTGTACTGGATCATTTAGGTAAACTTGTTTATCTAAATGTGGGATTTGGACAATATATCAACTGTCGGCATTTGGACATATTTGTGTGTGCTTATTTACTTTTTGGTCATATTTGTATGTGCTTATTTACGTTTTGGATGTAAGCTTGGGAGTTTGATCTTAGATCATTATGATTATCTCTTTCTTCAGCCTGCAATGCAAAGAGACTTGAAGGTCAGAAATTGTTGTTGGGCAGAAACTCCGCCGGATCAGTTGGAAAATCTGACTGGCGGATGGCCGGACTACTCTGGTCCAAGTATCTCATCTCAATTTTTTGTGGTTATTTTGGTTTTCCAATACTTTCAAAAAAAAAAAAAAAAGGTTTTCCAAACACTTTTTCAAATCTTTTTCTTAAATCAAAGGGCCCCGACAACTCGGCAACTACTTTTCAATAAAATCGGAATTTTATCAAATTTGATACAGTTTCTTTATGTCTCTATGATCCTAAACTTTGATCATATCACTTATTTCATGGAAGCTTATGTTACAAGTAAGCTTAGCTGCGTCAGTCTAATCAGTCCGATTATTTAGTCGAAATTAAATGTGAAAGAATGACTTTCACCAACCTGACGTGTTGTCAGTTATCACTGCAAGAGAGTAGAAACCAGGTGCCAGGTAATTAGCTAAATCACGTTGTAGAAATGGTCTATCTACTTTGGGAACTATGTCGTTACTACTAGTTTAATTTATGGTTCTGGAAAAACTATTGTAACGAAAGGTAGGGTAAAAAAGGACGTGAAATGTCATTTGGTGTTGCGAGAAGACGTATTGTTTGGTTTTTTTTTTCATGGTATTTTCAGAATAATTAAATATTAACTGTCTCATCTCAGCATACTTTTTTATATTTTTAATACATTTTTTTCTATTTTCAATACAAAAAACACCTAAAAACATACACTAAAAAACCAAACAATTAATAATAAAATTTTTCATCAATTCATCTTTAGCATCATAATACTTCATTCCTGAAGGAAGCGCGGACGTTGGCCTCGTCGATCTGTTCTAGACTTTTTTCCGCGTCTCCTTCACATAAGCCCTACTTCTTCCCCATGAGCTTATAATGAAACAGGTGGAGGATTAAACACGTGTACTTTCCACAGGTAATCCATCTTTACCTAATACTTTCCCATATTCCGCTACGCCTCGTGATGGATATTCATGGACAGTTTATTTCACTCACAGTAGTAGTACTAGAAAGACACAGTAGTAGTCATCTATGTTACCTAGACTTGGAGTCGTATTGGGTGCGGGGATCTCAGTGTCCGACTTGTCAATATTTTAAAAATTTTGAATATTTTAGATTAAAATATCACACCCGACACTCATACTCATACCAGTGTCGACACGACACGACACGAGTATTCTCCCCAAATAAAAGAGTCCGGCTAACATAGGTAGTCATTATTACAAAGAACTTTTAAGCTTGATGGTTTCGAACTCTTTAACGAGCCGTTCAATGGCAAGTCTGGGCAAGCGAACTAGAGCCATTACGCTTTTCTCCCCGTTCTTGTTCTTGATTGGGATGTAAAAGCTACCAAACGAACGAATTAACCCGATGGCCGGCCCGGCATAAACCGGTTTTCCCCACCCGAAATCCACCTCGTCGAACCCCGCCCTGGTCAGATCCGACACCATGTGCGTCGTCCATTTTAGCTCGAAATCCGGCCGCCCTTTCAGAACCAGCAGGTCCGCATTGGACTTCATGAACTCCTCCGTCACTTCCAACCGGGCTCTCTTCACCAGCTCCGCCGCATACTCAATTGGGTTCTCCGTCAATTCACCCACCGTCGTCACCGCCGCTGCCGTGGCTAACACATTCCCATAGTACCCTTTCGGTATTGGCGGATTAAATTTGGACCGAGCGTTCACTAGGAAGAGGACTCTAATTTTATGGGTCGGGTCGGTTTCAGGTCGGATGGAGGCGATTTGACCGCGCCAAATAAAGGCGGTGAGAAGCTCGAAGGTAGAATACCCGCTTCGGAGGTGTGGCGGCAGAAATAAGCGGAGGCCGGAGATTTCATTAGGACCGAATGAGAAGCTTCTGTAAATTACGTCGTCGTTCGATGGAGGCAAGTTTTCATTGGCGTCCGGAAGTGATTCGTGCTCACGGTGGTTGCAAGTAATTCTCGGCGGGTTTCTGGCGGTCAAAAGCTCCCTCATCCACACCGGAGAAACAGTCGGAACAGACCTTCCTCTGGCGATGTCGGCGATGGCCATGTTGAATTGGAACAACCCAGCTCCGTCGAGCATGGTGTGGTTGTGGCGGCAGGCGTAGATGAAGCCGCCACATCGGAATCGAGTCACCTGAGCCCATTCCATTAATTCAATTTTAGCCGGCCATTTTGGCACAATTGTATATATTTATACGGTATAAACATCAAATTTACCTGTATAAGAAACAGGGGAGAATGGAGGATTTCAGAGGAGGGGGGAATAAGCTCCTCCACACACGGAAACGGAGGCCGAATCTCCTCCTCCTCTCTTCCAAATGCATCCATCGTCGAGTCGGCGTCCGCCTCGATAAACAACACGCCTTCTCCTGTGCAAGCCACCATCAATTTCCCTTCCAGGCCTTCCCTCAGCCGCCCGGCTAATGGGTAGTAAAACACAAGCGCTTTGGCTACGGCCGCTTTGATCACCTCCACGGGATCATCATTGTTATCACTTCTTCTTCTTGCTTTGAAGAAGTGAATACCTGCAACCTGATAGCGATTCCCGTGTTGATCGTCGATGTCTGATAAGAGTTTGATTTCGTGCGGCGTCGGTTTGGCCGGACGAACCAGCACCGGCCTCTGTCTCTTCACGTTGAACCGCACCGACGCTGGTGATGATACGGCCATTGCACCAGTTTGTTGCACCCGGTTAGTTGTTTTTTTTTGACAGATTAAGTATTTGTTTGAAATTCAATAAGAAATGCTACTATCAATTTATGGGAGTGAACTTGAAAGTGAGTGGCCAGGGGAAGAGGAGGTTTGATAATTACACTCTCCAAGCGCCCGGTTTATCTTCAATAGTATTCTTAAGTTACACATTTAAAAAAAAAAAAAAAACCAAATCCATATATGCTGGGATATCCCGCCATTTCCCAAGAAATCTCGCAATCAAATCCCAATACTAACTAATCTCATCAAGAAACAAATCAATAAAATGACTTTTTCTTTTTCTTTTTCTCCAAAAAAATATACTTAACGGTTCTTTTAATGCACTTAAACGTTCATCTTATTTGACACATTTTCCCCGTATCAATTTTATTTCCAACAGTTCCCTTCCTCCTCTCGAATACAAGTTCTATAATTCATCAATTTATTTTCTATTAATGGTGACTCTGGAATGTTGAAGTTGTAGTTAATTTATTTTTTCATCAAACAATTTGCATCCAAAAAAGCTAGAAAAATGCAGGTGAACGGACCCATGAAATATACGGAATTTTAGAGTTGCCTAAGAGCAAGCCAAATGAAGAGGAATTTGATGCTATCATCGGGAAAGGAAGCATACAGTGAATGGGAGGCACTCACCATCACTGTGGGATATGACTTGTAAATAAATAGGCCATGTCCATTAGTACAAGCAGAAAGTTACAGCTTATTTATGGTCAAGAATCAAGATGTACCCTCTCAAAGCACGCCTTTATAGTCTCTGACTGATGTGAAAAGAGCGTTTGTGGACAAGGGCGAAACATGGAGTTTAACTCCACATCAATATTGCCGTTGCCGACACCAAGTCCAGTTTGTGCTCCTTGCATAAACAAATTTGTGCACACCTGTTTCTTTGAGTGCTCATTTGCAAATGAAAATATCCAATACCAAGCATAGATGGTTATACGAGATTCAATTCATATGGAAGTTATCCCAATCTCTAACGAAGGATATCCGTTATCCAGTACTCCTTGCAGCAGTTGTATATACGCCGCGGATGGTAGGAACGTAAGGATAGAATTTTCAGCAATCATACATATTAAAATCACAAATAATTATCGAGTTTAGATTTTTAGCTGAAATACAATTATTTTAAAACATTGAGTATCAGACAAGTTTGAAGTCAAAATATATATATATATAAGTCAAAATCAGAAATATGGGATTTATTCCTGTTCCAACTGAAAAGTGGGATATTATTATATTCAGTTCACCCAAAAGAAAAAATTTAAAGTATCCGTATGAAAGAACTGAAAAACAAAGACTGTCCATGCGTTTGATTTGTAATAGGAACTAAAAAAATGTAAAATTATAGGTTTTTGATATTATAATATTTTCTCTGATCATTAATGTAAGATATTCTTTTTTTTTGTCTTAGGTTTGACCTAGCACGTATTTTTAATTAACAAAAAAATCTTAAAAATACTTTTCTAATAATCAAGATAATATAACGAATGTGAAAATATATTTTTAAAATTTTTTTCCGATTAAAAATACATACTAGTGAATTATATTAAGGGAATCCTTGATGCCTAAACAAAAATTAGGGGGCCATTGGCCATTTTGGACAACAATACCCTCTGTGAAATGAGTTTATAGGTTTTTCATTAAGGGTATTATGATCAAAATGTGCCAAAAGTTGTTTTGGACCCTAATTTTTGTTTTGGCATTAAGGATTCCCTTATATTAATGGCATGAGGCATGAGGGAGTATATAAAATATCCCCGGGCAGGGGGTATGGGCTGTTTCAAAAGCCCAATTTTTTTTTGCATTTACCAGTTTAACATTTGAGGTCCGACGCCGGGCTCTCCTTTGGATTCTGGATATACGCTGTCGTTTTTGTGATCCCATCACTGGAACAGAAGCTGGAAAACTCATGCCTGAGAAATCCAGCTACAGTTCTGCTAAACCCTAATTTCGCTAATTCTTAACTTAGAATCTTCAAATTTTTTCAGCAAGTTGCTTCTACTGATTTCTTTTTTGGAGTTCGTTAATCACCTGAATCATCAGTTGGAGCAAATGGACAGTCATTTAACGGCGCCGGTCCGTTCACGGAGCTCACAGTCGGCGTCCCCCTCACACTCTGCTTCCGCCTCAGCGACGTCGTCCATTCACAAGCGTAAGCTGGTGTCTGACGATCACGCGCCCCCTTTTCCTTCCTCTTTCTCCGATACCCGAGACGGTCTCACTTCCAATGACGACCTCGAGAGCATCAGCGCACGCGGCGCGGACTCCGACTCCGACGACGAGTCCGAGGAAGCTGTTGACGACGAGGAGTACGATAACTCCTCCATAAGAAACTTCACCGCCTCGAGATTAGATAATAATGTGGCTCCATCTGGGAGGAATACTAAACTAAAGACCGAGAATTCTGTTAAAGTTGAGCCTTCTGATGGTGGGAAAGATGGCGGCACCGGCTCCGTCACCGGCAATGCAGCAAATGCAGCCACTGCGGGCTCCACTCTCGGAACTGTGAAGGAAGAGACAAAGAGCGTTCTTACGGATAACATTCAAACCAGTGGGGCTTATATCGCAAGGGAGGAGAGTTTGAAGAGAGAGGTTACTTATTAGTACATCATTCCCGTTTTTTTTTAATCTTTTTCTTCCTTCAGTTTTCTTTGGTTTTTTTTTTTCTCTCCCCAAATGTAATGTAAATTATAAAGCTAAAATCTTGATGTAGACGGGTGATTACATTTTCACAGGAGGAATCGGGAAGGTTAAAGTTTGCGTTCTGTTCCAATGATGGTACTGATGAGCATATGGTTTGGTATCTATTTCTCTTCTTTATCTCTTGGGATGGATTACTTTCCTGTCACGCGTCTATAATGAACGTAGTTTTGTTTAACTGACACGTGTTCTTTTCTTGAGGCCAGGTTGATAGGGTTGAAGAACATATTTGGCCGGCAATTACCTAACATGCCCAAGGAATATATTGTTCGCCTGGTGATGGACAGGTCTGGTTTTGATTTCTTATGCTGCAAGTATGAATTTTTATATTCTTTGCTAAGCTTCTACTTTGGTTCGATTATGGCTATCCATCTACACGTTTTAATATTGGGGAGTGGTAGCTTAGGTGAAATTGGATCTGTTTTGTTGACAAATTGTGTGGTTTTGTGTTGAGAATACATACCTGGATGCATTTTGTATGTTCTGGTGATATTGCTACTGTCTCCCTTGAATATGTTGCCAAGTACTGAATTTTAAGATAATCGGATAGACGCAGGTAAAATTTTATATGTTTTGGTGGAGATTTTACCTGTGACTTATTCATCTTTTGGAAGGATTGATTTTAATGTTATCTTGTGGACACATGTAAATGTTGCTATGTTCTAGAGCTGATATTACCTTGGACTTACTCATATTTGAAAATATTATTGCAGAAGCCACAAATCTGTCATGGTCATCAGACGTAATCAAGTTGTTGGTGGTATAACTTATCGCCCTTACAAGAGGTTAGATGTCTTGCTAATCCTTAATAGGTCCAACACTTTTGGAATGTGATCTGAAGATTTGCCTTCATAAATCAAGAGAAAATTTATTGTGGCATCCTATTTGCGCTTAACATTCTCTGTCATGAAGAGCTTTACATCATTCTCTTATTGCTCGGTTTGAAGAGTGTGTCTCTCTTGCTTTCTTGAATATTTTTACTTGTGGATGCACTTACATCATTGTTTTTAATCTTGTGACATGGTGTCTTTTATGAAGCATGAATTTGTAGCATGAGTTTTTCTGAATCAAATAAAATTCTTCCATAATCCAAGCCAGCTTTCTGATAGATTGTTTTGTCATTGCTTTTAATTTTGGTAAATCCGTCTTGGTCTCCCTGATTATCTATGGGTGACTTGAAAGATTGTCTCTGATTTGCATTGTAATTAAAATCCTGCAGCCAGAAGTTTGGTGAGATAGCTTTTTGTGCTATCGCAGCAGATGAGCAAGTCAAAGGTTATGGGACCAGGCTGATGAACCACTTAAAGCAGCATGCTCGTGACGTGGATGGATTAACTCATTTTTTAACATATGCTGACAATAATGCTGTTGGTTACTTTGTCAAACAGGTAGTACAAAGTCCATTGTTATACTTATGGAAATTGTGTTTATGGACGAGCTCATTTGAGATCTGCAATTATGTTAATGTCTGCACATGGTCTTCAGTGCTGAGTGTTTTCTGTTGAAAATCGTGATCATCAAATTATCCATCTAGATAAATTTTTCCTACATCACAGGTCTATTTATGAGTTTTGTGTGTTCTTTCTGTAAAAAGGTGAAACCAGTTCTCTATTTTGTCATTGGTTCGGTGCGGCTTTATTGGAACAGATTGATTTAACCCGTGCTAAACTTCAACGTTGGACAGTTTTGCATTATTTGGTGCAGCCCAAACAAGTTTCTAATAGTAAGGGATCCAAACTTGGAATGTGCCTGAATAATCTCACTGAACTTTTGCCATTCTTAATCAAGAAGTCATCATCCATTGGTTATTGAGTTTTTGTTGTATGTTGGAAATGGGCAGCCTTGCTGATATCTTTGATCTTTGAGTTCATTAGTTGGTACATTTTTGTGCTGAATATATAGTCAAATATGTCTTTTTTTGGTTCTCTTTTTAAAGTTTATTTTTAAGGATTTGTTACCATGATCGGATTCTCAAGGAGCCATACCACAATAATAGCTTTATCTGGTTTTAGGAATGTCGCCCTTGTTTGTTTACACTTTTTTGGTTATCAGTAAATCTCAGACCTTTCCCGTTGAAATCGTTTTAATAGTTCTTTATTTTTGGTTGATTTATCTATAGGGCTTTACAAAGGAGATTTACCTGGAGAAAGAGCGATGGCATGGGTATGTTCTCGTTTACTATTTGTTCATGGTAGACTGCGTATGTTTTCTTACTAGAGTAATGTTTTGAAGTAGAAATGACTCTTCGAGTAGATTTATCTTCCATTTTCTTTTGAATCGCGCTGATTAGAAGTTACATTTATCTTCCAGTTACATCAAGGACTATGATGGAGGAATCCTTATGGAATGTAAGATTGATCCAAAGCTTCCTTATACTGATCTATCAACTATGATACGCAGCCAAAGACAGGTAAGAAGAAGCGTAGTCTACGTAGATAAGGAATATAGAATCAAATGTAATTCTTGGCGTGTGCCTCTGAAATTTGTTCTCCATATAATCACCACTCTGTCCGCTTTCTCCCAAAAGGGGAAAGAGGGAGAAAAGGGAATAATAAAGAAATATGAGGAGTTTATTTTGATGATAGTACTGTTGCAAGATTTACATTTATTCACAACCACATTTTTTGGTGTTGCTAGGCAATTGATGAAAAGATTAGAGAGCTGTCAAATTGCCATATTGTCTATCCACCAATTGATTTCCAGAAGGTATATGCAGCTGTGCAACTTGATATCTATTTTCTTTTGAGATTTTGTTTACAAGATGTACTATTATCCCCTCCCTCAAACAAACTCTTATTCTTCTATTATCGTTGTTCGGCAATGCATAAAATTGCAGTTCATTTCATACTTCCAATTTTTGCAGTTATAGGAATTGATGTTATCAGTTCTTGGAGCCATTACTTGCCACATACGCAACTATTGTGAACATAAATTTGTGTTTGTCATTGTGGTAGTTTGCATGAAATGTTATTGTGCCATGTTTTGAACTTCAGGAACAAGTTTCAAATGTTTTATATCAATTTTACAGAAGGAAGCTGGTATCCCAAAGAAGCCTATCAGAGTTGAGGATATACCTGGGTTGAGTACGTACTTCCCTATGACTGCTTGCACCTCAATGCCATTCCTGAAAGAAATAGGAAATTTTTTTATCCGTTCCATCATAAAATTTCAGCAAAACTTGATTTTTTTCAGGCAGTAAGAAATTCTTATTATTTGGACATTGTAGGAACAATTTTATTTTTATTAAGAATTCCATTCCCTAGGCATCAATGACGAAAAAAATAATAGAGAAAAAGACTAAAAAGTTTGGGATGTCAGATATGCATGGCTTCAGTAAGTTCTTGTCAGTACCTCGCTTTGCTTTTAGGGAATTGGGAACACAATTTTGACCTATAACATACCTTCAAAATTTTTTAAAATTATGCGCTTAAATTTGATACACCAATTTCAGGAACACTTCATACTTCGTGTCTAAAACTGCTTAGTTGCCAGCACCTGGTTGCTAACTGAACTCTTTTGTTTCCCACCCTGGGGGCTCAGCATCCCTTTGATTAGGACAACAGAAACCTATATTGAAAAGGGGGAATCCAAATTTTTGTTTATTGATTTCAAGTTGAGTAAATCTGTTTGAATCAGCATTGTCGAGTGGTCTCCTTGCAGTCCTTTTGCCATTTCCTTTATTTGAACTTTTGGTAACATGACAACAGGAGAGGCAGGTTGGACCCCTGATCAATATGGGCATTCTCAGTATAAGATGCTTAATTCATCAACTGATGGTGTTTCAAATCAGAAGATGATGACAGCATTTATGCGTTCACTTGTCAAGGTAATCGGGAAAGGGCACAGATGCAATGTTTGGGCATTTTCTGATTTGTCAATGTCGTGAAACGAAAGTGTTATGGTCTCATTTGGAAGTATTGCTAATTGTTAGAATTAGATTCCCTCTTAACCTTGTGGGGTGACTGTTTAGAGATCTTTTAGTCATTGATGCTACTTGTCATCTTTTTATTTTTTTTGTGTGTGCAGATAATGGTTGAACATACTGATTCTTGGCCGTTCAGGGAACCTGTTGATGCACGAGATGTACCTGACTATTATGATATCATTAAGGATCCAATGGGTATTTTTTCACATAATAATTTCTTCTCCTTTTCTTTTCCCCGTAATTTGCCAGAATAGGCTTTTTAGCATTGCTGTCAGCTATTCAACACTCTGGTCATTCTTCCTTTCCGATTTGGGGGTTATTTATTGGATGCATTTTTCTTGCAGATCTAAAGACAATGTCAAAAAGGGTAGAGTCAGAGCAGTATTATGTGACTCTTGACATGTTTATTGCGGATGTGAAGAGGATGTTTTCCAACGCGCGGACATATAACTCACCTGACACAATCTATTACAGATGCGCAACCAGGCATGAGAGTTCACTTTCATTCAGTGTTTTAGAGATCTTATGGAATGAATTGCAGATGGGATCATTCTCCTTCAAACTGTTTAACATCATGTGTTCTTTACTTGCAGGGTTGAAGCACATGTAATGAACAAATTTCAAAGTGGACTCCAGAATGGTCCTAAAATGCAGCAATGATATCTGTAGATTCTCATGCGAAGCTTAAAACTCCGGCCGTGTAATAATATATCTTAACAAAGCCAGAAAAGTCTCCGCCTGAGTTACAGTCTGGTGCCTGATTGAAGCACTGGACAGCAGAGAGCCACCACAGGCAAACCATACTCGGAGGGCGACGTTGGATGGTTGGAATATTGGGCCGTTGAGTTGTTGATTATTTGTTGTAGATTTTAGAGCAAATTTTAGAGACCATCTCTTTGTAACTCATTATTGTCCACGGTTTTTTTTTTTTTTTTTCCCTTTCTTTCTTCTTTTGGTTTGATGTGTTTGAAATTATGAATAAATAAATTACTCCATATTTATTTCAGCATAAAGTTATTTGTCAGTTAAACAAATTATCGTAGTAAGTTATTTGTAAGAATGGTGCTTTTTTTTTACTTAATAGTTACTGTGTGACTAAACATGGTTGCTAAATTATTAGTTCACATATTAAACCTTATCATAAAAGTAAACTATAGTATGTATTGAAGTTATATACTATTCACTAGTTAAACTAGATGTTACCCGTGCATTGCACGGGGTAATAAATTCACATTTAGAGACTATTATCGTTTGGCCATATTCCTTTAGAAAAAAAAAAGAAGGAAAATTCATGAGTTATGTCTAACGAATACTACCCTTGACTACCACAATTTTGATTTCAATTTTCCACGGCTATGAAAAAAATAACAAAAAAGTCAGAAATTCCCTATAGATGATAGGAAACACTAAATTTATAATTACTATTCTATCCAAAATATTCGTCTAATATGTATTTTCTGCTTTACCATTTTTCAAAAAACCCTCTACCCATAGTAATCTTTACCAAAAACAAAACAATTATCACCGCCGCCGTATCACCACCATCATTCTTTCTAATCTTTCCTAAAATTAGACAACCTCCTCAAGTACTTATTTTGCATAACTTCAATGACAAATATCATCCTTCTTTTTTGTTGAATTCGGACTTGACATTGTTGATGGTGGCAAATGACTCTTCTTTTTCTTGAATTCGGAATTGACATTGTTAATGGTGGCAAATGACTCAACTTCAAGGGTAATGATTTTTGCCGTGAGAATTTTTGCTTTCCTCCTTCCTCTTCCTATTCTTCCACTCTCTAGGACAGCCTTTTTGCCATAATTACCCAACTGCCCAATTGAAAATTAGGGAAGATTGGATTGGGGAGGAAATTTGAATCTTACTATATATTAAAGGAATTTTTCTCACAAGACACAAATCGCACTATTAGATCATTAATAATTTCTAAAAATACGTGTCCAGTTTTCATTCGTTCAGAAACTTAAGTAGTCCATGTGCCAACATTTTATTGGCTTATTACTTTTTACTAATCTTTTACTACACCTCATAACTGTAATCTTCCATAGTAAAACATTTATGAGATTTTAATATATCAGTCCACGCCATCATCTTCATCTTCATCATCATCATCAAACCCTAATTCCCTCAGCGCCACCACCATGCCTAATTCTATCCACCATGCCATATTCTGAACCAAAGCAGCCAGCATCCGAAGTTATAAAATTTATTTTGCTGTCGTATTCTGCTTTTTTTTTCAGAGACGGATCCTTCATTCCTTTGGCCGGCCAATTCCAGATCGACAAATCCTAAACACATCAAACAGGAAATACTCCAATTTCATGACTCCGATGGCTTAAAGATGAAGATTGACATCGACTTTATTTGAACGGAATGAAAAGTAATTCGTTGGTTGAAAGTTGTAATATGACCTGAGGCCCACAATTTTATGATGAACGAAAGCCAGCTCTTGCAATTTTGATGCCCCCTCATGTGATGATCGGAAGTTAGAGTTTTCTGATGAACAAAGGTCAATTTGCCGAGAACACTGAGACCAGAGATTTCTGATAAATATTGGCCAATTAACTTAGAACACTGGAGTTTTTTTAATTCTAATTATGTCATCTATTTAATTATAAATAATCCAATTCTAATTGGAGAGCACAATTAGCCGCAGGTTTAAGGTTATTATCCTCATAAATGAAACTAGATGCTTGGTCCAGGCAGATGCCCGGGCGCCCCCTCTACTTTAATTTTGTGTTAATAGATAAATAAATTTTTGATTTGGAAAAAATAAAATAGCTACACATTTATTTTTTCCCCCTTTTTAGCCAAAAATAAAAATAAAAATAAAAAAAATCATCTGCAAAAAAAGAAAAAAAATTAAAAAGTACACCGATGCAGAAATCATACAAAAGAATGTGGAGTAATAAAAGGGATAAGTTTATGGACAAATTTAAATCCTATCTTAATTTGATTGATAAATGCTAAGTGTTAGAAGTTAAAATTGTGTAGCTATTTTTGTAAATTAACTTTTGTTTTTCCGGATAAGAAGTTTTTTTATCTTTTAAAAAAAGATGACACGTGGCAGAATGATTAAAGCAATATGGTGTATTTGGAGCCAAAATTTTTTAATAAAAAGTTGCCACATCAACATCTTGTATTCTGCTTTAATAGGGTAAAAGGGATAAGAAATTAATTTAGAATAATATTTTGAATAGGAAGTTATCTTAAATTATCTCTTTCATTTATTTGATTGATAAGCTTCACTAACTAAAAGATATCCCGCGTGATTATATCCGATAAATTGCATCTCAAAATTTGAACCAATATATCATTCCTTTTGATTTGGCTGCTAAATGAAAAAAAAAAAAAAAAACCCTAACGCGATTGTGTTTTGGTCTTTTGTGCTATATATGCCAAATGGCTATTTTCCCGAAGAAGCACACCCTCACGGCCTCACTCAAACAATAACACAGGAATACCATCATCTTCTCTCTATTAATAGCCACACTCATCTTCTTTCTCTCCAAATTAGAGAGAGGATAAGACGAACATGTCAAAAATGTCTGGAAAGGAAAGCAGAACAAGGAAGAAGATCAGAAAGTTTATCACGAGTGGTCACCCTCTTTTCCTCTTTTTTTTTTGGGCTTTATATTTGTTTGATTTAGGGTGAAGATTTTCTGTTGCACATGTTTTTTACCAATTATTTGGAAATTTTCCTTAGACGATTATTTTAATCAGTATGAAAGTTGCAAAAATCTCTTAAACACAAAGTGGGTTCAATTCCATTTTCAATATTTATAATAGTAATAACAAAAAAATGATTTTTTTTTTGGGTTTGGACTCTTCAGGTTCTTTCTCTTATCTTTTTGGTGCATCTTTTAATTAATTGGATGCAGGGATTCTGGAAGCATTTGCTATGATTAACTGATCCGTTTTTGGATATTTTAGTAAATTTTGATAATATTTAGGGGTTGCTCTTTTTTAGTTAAATAGAAAATCGAAGAGAAACACATGCATATGTGCTTCCTTGAAAACACATATACCATATACACGTTCCATGGCTAACCCTTCCTCCGGAAACCATCAAAGTTTTTGGAGCAAAAGTGGCCGGTTTGTTTCCTCCGGACACGAACTAAGTTATTAGACTGCAGCATACCAATACGCAATTGGAGCTATGTTGCCGCAAATTCGTATGTAAATGAATTCATGAATGCGGTTTTTTTCTTAGAATCTAAACAAATAATTATCTTTTTTTGTGATGATGTATTACAGTATATCTTTTTCGTCATTTGATTTTTATGATCTGTTCAAATTCGTCGAATTTAAACAAACAATGTTAATATGTAACGCTTATTATCTCAAATTGTTACATGTTCAATTGAGGCCGTTATTTGATAAAAAATTGTAGGGCCAACAGTTTTTAATCAACAAGAAGAAAGAGAACATATGCTTCGGATAGACATGAGGTGAAAATATGCAATACTCCATTATATCAATTACTGATTTGTTATTTTCTTTTTATGTTCTTTGCAAATTCTTGGCTACTCTAAAACAGGGAAAATCGACACTGAAAAAAAAAAGATGTGTAATATGTTAAAAGTTTCTATGTGCTTCCTTCGGTATCTTCAACATTGGGAACTTGTTCAAATCAAATTTCTGCACGTTAATATTTTTTTTTTAATTATGTTATCTCTTATGTGTCAAAGTTTGTTTTCTTTTTTTTTTTTCTTTTTAAAACCTCAAATTTTTTTGCTTGATATTTATCAAATGTAGTAGAAATGTAGAATTATTATAAATTTGCCTTTTTAAGTTGGGTAATTTACTTCGAAGGTTTAGTCACTGTATTTTGTCACTATTTTTATTCACTATATATATCATTTTTCAGAGTTTAATTTTTTCTTGAATTTGTGTAATCATTGAAAAAGTGATCATATAGATTAATTTAATCGAAGAATTGGGTTTCTTAGTTACGTGACTAAGATTTTTTCTACCATTATAACAATAAAAACATAATCATGAAACTTTTGTTGAGCTCTAAGACAGGAGGACTACACCTCAAAACAGATTGATAGTATTTACTTATATTATTATTATTATCCCAAAAAATAGTTTTTTTTTTTTGGTACATGAAATTATACACAAATATTTGTCTTATTTCCTTTCATGCATGATTAACAGTTTATATAATACTCAAATTTAACTGTGCGTTACCATTTTCATTTGATTCTTGAAACACAAAAAAAAGCGGGGATAAATCACTCTAAAATAGGATAATTAAATTAAAATTAGCCATCAAATCTCTGTTTAAAAAACTAAAAACTTAAACTTATATATACGTATACACATGATTAAAAACATTTCATAGTCAAACAGAGATACAAAGTAAAATAAATCAGAGACTACATTCAATTATTAACCAAACCGAAATAGTACATTTTATTATTAAACTAATATATAATATATTATATCACCGCACGTTAATAATACTAGTATGTACAAACACAAAATCATTGTGCTTTATGTTTTCTTTCTCACGGTATTGGATTAAAGCTTGAATCAGCTAAACCCATGACACATGTCAATGTAACTTGCACAAGGAATTAAAAAAGAAAATCATATGACAACCAAATTGACCACAATATCATATTACGTTTTGGAA